ACTATTCTCCTTATTTTAACGATTACCAAATTTTAACAAACTCAATAATTTATGAAAATTTGTTAATCTTAATAAATATATTTGAAATGAAAAAATAGGCTAAAATGTACTTATGATTAATGAAAATTTTGTCTCATAAAAATGAGAGATAACTTGAGAAAAATATAATAAATATTTTTTGAATTTTGAGTTTTTCATATAAAAAATAATAAAGCATATGGTAATTTTTCTTTTAATAAAAACTAGAGGGATTATATTTTTGACCTTTTGCTTTGTATCTATGGAGAAATAGAATTTTAAAAATTTGACTCATAATTTAAATATGAAGAAGTAAAGATAATAAAGTTACGTTTAAAATAGAGAACAAACTGACCACAGAGAGAGAGAGAGAGAGAGAGAGAGAGAGAGAGAGAGAGAGAGAGAGAGAGATGTAAAGGGCAAAAATAAGAAGAAAAAGAAAGGCAGGTTTCTTGCACGAATAATTGAAAACACCTCGTAGAATGGAGGAACCTAATACTTCTAATTAGAGCCCATAGTTTGAGAACTAATTTAGATTTAAAATACTCAAAACTTATAAAAAAAACATATATAGTTAAGCTCAATTTTAATATCTTGAAATTTCAAATCTAAATATCTAAATTATTAAAATTTATTTTATTTTTATTTTTTAGCTAATTTTAATTTTAATTTTAAAAAAATTAATATTTTCAATTTTTATCTTATCTTAATATTTTATTATTATTATTATTAATAAATGAATTTGGGTTTGAGCTTGATTGGAGTTTTTTCAGACTTATTCTAGCAACCGGAATACTTGAATATTTAAAATTTATTTTTTTATTTTTTAAAATATATTAGGCTTTAATTATATAAGATTTTTCAAACATCTAGTTTGATGAATATTGATAAAGGAGACTTGATTGTCATTGTTTTTGTTATTTGACAAACTCAATTTTTTATATAAATTATATATTCATTTAATAAGTGATAATAAACAATTAACAAGTATTGTTGAGGAATTAACAAATAAAGTTATGCAATTAATAAGTAATTTATTGCTTTTTCAAAGCAAAAATTACATAAGTCTTGTTATGGTATTAATAAGTCAAGTTATGCAATTAACAAGTATTGTTGTGTAATTGACAAGTAAAAGTTACATGATTTAGAAATAACGCAATTCAGTTGAAGGAGCCATAAATTTGACAAGTAAATTCAAGTGATTAACAAGTCTTGTTAAGATATTAATAATGACAGTTACATGATTAATAAGTAATATAGCTTTGTTGTAGGAGTTATGAACTTAACAAAAAAAAAGTTAAGTAATTGACAATTCCTTTTAAGGTATTAACAAGTATAGTTATTCGATTAACAAGTGATTTATTTCTATTATAAGATTCGTGGGGTTAACAAAGAAAGTTAAGTAATTAACAAGTTCTTTTAAGGTATTAATAAGTAAAATTATATGATTATCAAGTAATGTAATAATCAAATAGTTTGGAAACAAAATTTATTATATATATAATTTTATGTATTATATAATTGAACAGGTTGAGTGACTTGATGATTTAAAACTTTTTAGTGAACTAAAGAGTCTTGAGTTTTACGTCCATCTTACCCACCTTTGAAGAGATTAATTCTCCGTATTTTTCAAGCCACCATTGACGATGGTACAGTTGGCGACTGGAGCTTCGACAACAGAGGTCCAATGGTTGCCATCACTTGCGAAGCTTCGGTTACCAAAGACGGTGCTCCAATGACGGTTGCTGGTAGTTTTCTTTTCTTTTTTTTTAATATTTGAACTAAGGGTATTTTAATCTTTTTAATTTTTAACTTATTTTTAATTTAGTTTTATAGGATTGAACTGATATTTTAAAAATCTTTGAGAGCTATCTGAAAGTAAATCACTTTTTTGGTACTTAAATGAAATTGTCCCCTTTTTTTTAACTTATTTAAACCAGCACAGAGCATGGGACGTGCTTTTAATCTCATGTGGGTTTGCACAAAGAAGAAGACTTGAGATCAACACAGCAGGGGAAGCGTACCAAAGGGCACATCAACGTCGTTGTCATAATCACAGACACGCCAACCAACCTTCCACCCCACTTTCATGCATATCTCTGTACAAAAGTTTCGTAGTTTCGTTCGATTCGATTCGATCCATAAAAATTTAATCCTATCCAGTCCTATAAAATATTGATTCTATAGGATCAAAAAGACTAAAAAGACAAGATTAATTTTTTAGATAAGACCAGACTAGAGACCAAACATCTGGACTGAGTGGTCTGGTTTGGTCCTATATAATTATTTTAATATAATTAAAATTAATTTATAAATTATTAATTAATAAGCCTTAGAAAAAAAAGTTTTAATCCTACCTTACACTTTGCACTCTGATTGAAAAAAAAACCTCAACACTATTACTCAACAGTATTTAGCGTCTCAGCCACTCACTCAACTTTGCTCTCATTTTCAATTTCTTCAGTGTACCAAAACCCTAGCCCCTGCCTTGCACTTTGCACTCTGATCTTGATCTGTTCGAACTTTGAAGGAACATGTCTATGGGCTGATTTTTATTACTTCTGTTCTTGCTGATTTTTTTCCTCTGGTCTATTTTCGGTCTTTCCTCTGATTTTTTATTGAAATTATGTATTTAAATCATTTAGAGTTTGGACTATAACTAAAATATTATTTTCTTGGTGTTAGAAATTATTATGAATTTATTATGATAATAAGTGTTTTTATTATTTTAATTAAATTTGTTAAGTTGAAATAGATTATTGGTCATCATAGAGAAAAAAAAGAAAAAAAAAGGCCAAGTGAGTATTAGACTAACAGGACCAGTCTCCCAATCCTATGGACCAAGTCCAGTCTTATTAATCTTCAAGTTTTCACAGGACCAGATCGGACTACAGGTTACCTAACTCAGTCCTTTTCATGAAAAGGACCAGACTTCGGGTTAGGCTAAAGTCCAGTCCCGTCCAATCTTTTGTGCAGCCCTACACATACCAATCCTCCAAACTTCCACCCTCTCAATTTAAAAATATAAATTATTTTTAATTAAATTTATTTTTTAATAAATAATTATTTACTTTTAAATTAATAATATTTTTTATATTTATTTTTATTAAATACTTTATAATAAATATAAAATTATTTATTAATAGGAATATTTTAAAAAGATAATAATTATATCTCAAAAAATTAAAAATATTTTACATTTTTAAATATCTAACTCTTTAAAAAATATTTTATATTTTTAATTTGAGAGAGTATTTCTTATCCCCTCTCGCCAGATCTTTTAGTGTGGACTTCATACTTCATTCTTCTGTATTTTTGTTGTTGCTGGGAGTACCGGTTACTGCAGGGCCTACTCTATATTGTGTTGAAAGAACTTGAACAAAAATCCACATTAATTTAGATTGAGTCGAGTAAGGATCTTCCAAATAAAATTTTTATTGTTAAGGCCGTTACATTTTTAAAGTTTGAACTTAAGATTTTTAGTTGAATTGATACAAACAATTCTTCTACCTATTGAACCAATTGTGGGACTATCATTCCTTATAGTTTTACTTGAATCAAAATACAAGTCTATTCTTAAGAATTTTTTTATTTTATATATCTCTTTAAAAAGTTAAAAGTAACATTTGTTAATAATTTTCTCATCTTACCTTCCTTCACTCCTATAACAACACATTAATTAGGAGCAAGTTTGCTAATATAATCAATGTTTTGATTCACAATTCTTAAACTCAAACCTTAAAATACTTACATTTTAAAATAGGGAGAGTAATTTGCAGCTCAAGTCAAAATTAACACTTTCAATTATAACTATAAGCTTTGTTTTGGGGAACAATGTTACTGTTTTTTGATGTGAATGGGATTGATATTTATAAAAAAAAGAATTAACTTACAAGAATTTTTAGATTATAGGTACATTCATGAAAAAATTAATTATATAATTAAATTAAAAAATTTAATTAAAATATACCTAAATTTATAATCTTCTATAATTTAAATTTGCATGAATTCTGTTTTTATTTGTTATTTTTAATTATACAGACCGGCTCCTTTTGTCATGTCATCGTTGGCGCCTGCCGTTGGGCGATCATATGATATTGATTACTATCTCCAGCCATTTTTATAATATTTAATTTATAATATTATAATTACAGCTCGCCGAAGGATAGGAAAAGTCAAAAGTGCATGGGACCTCAGAAGCCTTTGTTATATTTGTGATTTTTTTTAATATTTTAGGAAAGCTCACAACCAAGAACCATAGACAAACAGATCACCGCTTGAAGATTCATAAATTCTGATTTTACACTCCAGTTCCTGGATCCTAATTATAATTAATTGCAATTATGAAAGTACATAATCATCTCTAACCAAGTATATTCATGTGATAAACAAGTTATCATTAGTAAAATAACAATACTTTATTATATTTTAATAAAAAATAATTTTTATAGCAATAAATTCAAAATAAAATCGTTTTCATTGACAAACAAAATTAAGTGTATTTGTGAGGTAAACAAGTAACTATTCACAAATAACAATACTCATTCTATTTTAATAAAAATAATTTTTATAGTAATAAGTTTAGAATAAAATCATTTTCATTAATAAAACTAAGTATATTCATGTGATAATCAAGTTATGACTCATAAAATAATAACATTTTATCACATTTTAATTTGATAAGAAATGATTTTCTTATAATTTATCTAGAATATAGTTGGGAGCAATTACGTATCTTAACAATTATAATTAATTACAGTTAGAATTGCAGGACTACAAGGTTAAGTCATAATTCATGAGTCTTAAGCTGTGAATACACTTCTCTTGGGGTCCTTAGTTGTGATTTTCCATTTTTTAATGTCACTTTTGCAATTAGTCAGATTTCAGACTACAGATTATAGAACGTACATTTCCCGTATTTTTTACTTTTTCCTTTTTAATTTTTAATTAATTAACGATCCATTCAAGGAAGTCGACTCGTGGCAGGCTATGTTTCTTCCTACTACATCCCCCGTCAAAATGGAAAGCTAAAAGGTTCCTCTGTTAGTTTCCTTTCATGTGCTTCTGTTTCTGTTCATCTTCAATATTCTTTAGCTCACAAATATCTCCTTACTTGATTGATTTCTTCGACCTCTCTATCCTTTCTACCTTATCCATTGCCATGGATGGGATATGCTGATGGTGGATAGAGAAGGTAGAATACAAGATCAGAGATTACAAATCGGTTCGATTACAATGAGCAGAAAGAGAAGGTTGCTTCTCAACGTTGAAGATGCAGCTATTGACTTCTTCAACTATCTCCACGAGGAGAAGCCCCAGATTCTTGTCTTCATTCCTCTGCTTTTGGTTGCCTGGGTTATTGAGAGATGGGCATTCTCTTTGTCCAATTGGGTTCCGCTTGCTCTAGCTGTGTGGCTAACCATTCAGGTGTGTACTCTACTCTCTCTCTCTCTCTCTACCCTTCCTCTTTTGAAATTCTACTTGCGTCCGATAGATTGTAGTATAATTTTTTTTTTTTAAATTCAGTGTGCTTTTAATCGAGTCTGTTTACGTCTGTTTCTGATATTAACCCGCGATTTTCATGAGGGGGAGAGGTGAGGCGGAAGAGTTTCCATCTTTGTCTTGCCTAATTTTTCAGTTCAGTCATGATCATTGGTCTGAGAGTCTGCGGTGAACTGATTTGTATCTTCTTTGCTTCACCCTTTTTCTCTACAAACAATTTGTCTTTTTACCGTATCCATCTGCCATGAATTTTGTTTTACAACAGCTGAACGATTTTTTTTGGGTAAACAGAGGAGTTAGATAAGCTATTGGAGCTCTAAAGCAGGGGGCAATCCTTAAGTGGATGCTTACTAAGTCAACAAGATTCTAAATTTATCAAGAAGTCAGTAAAAACTTAGCAGCTGTTGAAAACTTGATACGTTAGTGACGTAAATACTATTGGGTAGTTGGGCTTTTTAGACGAGTAATGGAAACATTATTGGTCTGTAATTACATCAGCGATGATAACACAGGCACTTAATCTTGAGTACCTCATTTGTGTTAAATTGTTTACGTGTTTAGCTGACTTCAGTCGTATGGAGGAGCTTTTACTCAGAAGTGATATTTGTTGAATAAATGAAAATTCTAAATTCTGGGTCAGATTTTGAAAGGTCTCAATTGTATGTGATATAAGTGCATTTCTCTTTTCTGGCCGATTAATATAGGAGCTGTTGAAAGATAATTTTCTTGTATTTGCAGTATGGGAACTATCAACGCAAACAACTTGTGGAGGACTTAAATAAGAGATGGAATCGAGTCGTATTGAACATCTCGGTATCTTATCCCTTTCTTACACCCTTTTACTTTCTCAAAGAGCTTTATGAAGTTGACTTCAATTCTTGTACTCATAGCCCTCGACACCATTGGAGCACTGTGAGTGGCTGAATAAACTATTGACAGAAGTTTGGTCCAATTATTTAAACCCAAAGCTTTCAAGAAGGTTATCAGATATAGTTGAGGTGAAATTTCTGTTCCTCTTTTAGTTACTACGTTGATGATTGATGTATATTATCGTTTATTTTCAGTACTCGCATTGCTGGTACTTATTTTTTTAATGGTACAGTTGTTTAGCGCATTTTCTTCCATCCATGGCTAAATTAGGCCACTTTAGAGTCTGCTTCAGTTTATTCAAAATAGATGTTGCCCCTATCCCCTAGATAAGAATATAACAACAACAAGCCTTTATCCCACTAGGTGGGGTCGGCTACATGGATTGCAAGACGCCATTGTGCTCTATCATTTATCAAACTTTTAGGAATATTATTAATTAAGAGATCGCGTTCAACAACTTCCAAGAGTGTTCTCTTAGGCCTTCCTCTACCTCTCTTAATCGGACTCAAAGTTATATGTTCCACTCTTCTCACTGATGCCTCCTTTGGTCTTCTTTGTACATGCCCAAACCATCTCAACCGATTTTCTACCATTTTTTCCTCAATAGGTGCCACCCTCACTTTTTCACGTACGTGCTCATTTCGAATTTTATCTTTACGTGTATGTCCGCACATCCATCGTAACATTCTCATCTCTGCTACTCCAACTTTATGCTCTTGCTGTCCCGTTAGAGCCCAGCATTCACTACTATATAACATTGCCGGCCTGATAGCAGTGCTATAAAACTTTCCTTTAAGTTTATTAGGCACCTTACGGTCACAAATAACTCCTTTAGCTTTTCTCCAATTAAACCACCCAGCTTGAATTCTATGTGAAATATCTCCACTGATTTCGCCATCATTTTGAATAATGGCTCCCAAATATCTAAACTTTTCCACTTGAGGTATAATTTGATCTCCCAATTTCACTTCCAAATTATTGTCGAATATTCCTTTACCAAATTTACAATATAAATATTCCGTCTTACTTCTACTCAGACGAAAACCTTTCGATTCCAATGTCCTCCTCCATAACTCAAGTTTACAATTAACCTCTTCTCTTGTCTCTGCTATAAGAACTATATCATCCGCGAAGAGCATACATTTCGGGATTTCCTCTTGAATATGTTCCGTCAAAATATTTAAAATCAAGTTGAACAAATAAGGACTCAGAGATGATCCCTGATGTAGTCCAATCTTTATAGGAAAATCCTTTGTTTGACCACTAGGTGTTCTTATACTAGTTTTTACCCCCTCATACATATCTTGTATGGCTTTAATATAAGTAATCCGTACTCCCTTTTTTTCCAACGCTTTCCAAAGCACTTCTCTTGGTATACGGTCATAAGCTTTTTCCAAATCAATAAAAACCATGTGTAGATCTTTATCTTTACAACGATACTTTTTCATTAATCCCCTTAGTAGATAAATCGCCTCTGTAGTTGATCTACCTGGCATAAAACCAAACTGATTCTCAGAAATACTTGTCTCCAATCTCAACCTGTGCTCAATTACTTTCTCCCACAATTTCATTGTGTGGCTCATGAGTTTAATCCCTCTATAGTTAGTACAATTCTGAATATCTCCTTTATTTTTATAAATAGGAATTAATGTACTTCTCCTCCACTCATCAGGCATTTTCTTGAACCGTAAAATCATATTAAATAACTTAGTTAACCATCTCACCCCTTCTTCACCTAAACATTTCCACGCTTCGATAGGTATACAATCAGGTCCGTTGGCTCTACCATTTGCCATTTTCTTAAGAGCTTCCTTTACCTCCTTATCACGTATTATTCGATAGAATGACAAATTTTGTTCTCCTTCACCAGTTACTAAATCCTCCAAGTTACTAGATGAATCCTCTCCATCATTGAAAAGTTTAGAAAAGTAAGTCTCCCATCTATTTTTAATTTCATCATCTGTAACTAAAATTCTTCCCTCTTCATCCTTAATACACCTTACCTGTTCTAGATCTCTTGATTTTCTTTCCCTACTCTTGGCAATCTTATAAATATTTTGCTCTCCTTCCTTCGTCTCAAGGTTCTTATAAAATTCTTCAAAAGCTTTAAAACGAGCTTCACCCACAGCTCTCTTAGTTTCCTTCTTAGCCATACGGTACCTCTCCCAATTTTCCTCATTGTTACACAAATGTATGGCTTTAAAACAGTTCTTCTTATACTTGATTTTGTCCTGTACACTATTATTCCACCACAAAGACTCCTTATCTCTCGGACCAGAACCTTTCGATTCTCCCAAAACTACTTTTGCAACCTCCCGTATCTTTTTAGCCATATCCTCCCATATGATGTTAGCACTTCCCTGAGATTCCCAAATTCCTTTATCCAAAAGATTTCGCTTGAAAATATCTTGCTTCTCACCTTTTAATTGCCACCACCTAATCCTTGGTGTTACTACTTGTCGACGTTTTTGGATTTTACTCATAATACACACATCAAGGACTAGGACCCTATGTTGTGTCGTAACAGCATCTTCGGGGATCACCTTACAATTTTTACAAAGTCTTCTATCTGTGTTCCTAACCAAAAGAAAATCAATCTGTGACCTTAAGGCTCCACTTTTGTAAGTGATGAGATGCTCATCTCTCTTCTTGAAACAAGTGTTGGCAATCTTAAAATCATACGCCAATGAGAAATCAAGAAGAGTTTGTCCTTCATTGTTTAGCTCTCCAAAACCAAAACCACCATGCACCCTCGCATACTGACCAGCTTCCCTCCCTGTCCCCTAGATAAGAATAAAGAAACAAAATGTTAGGATTACAGCTTAGCCATTAAACACTAATATTGTCAAATGGTGAATCTAACTAGGTTAAACTATTTATGATCATGATCTACATTCTCTTCAAGATGGAGTTGACACCTTCATTTTAAAGATAGGTGAACTAATTACAAGTTCTTTCGTTTGTGTGCAGAAACGTTTAAAGCTGAGAAAACCAAAACTTATAGTAAGTGGCATTCATCTTCCCTTTGGCAAGAATCTCATGTTTGTTGACCAAAACAGTATGGACATCTAATTATGCTGAAATTTTAGTAGAGGGGTATTGGACTGAAGCAGTCTGTGATGTAGGAAAGGGTTGAGCTTCAGGAGTTTTCACTTGGATCTGGCCCTCCTTGCTTGGGTCTACAAGGGATGCAATGGTTAACTATTGGTGATCAGGTATTATTTTTCCTTACATTTCTGATATCATCTGCATATACCATGCTTGATATTTAATGAAAAATCTTACTTTTCTCCTCAGAACTTCTAAATTTTTTAAATCAGATGGGGAAGGAAGGATGCGTTTCTGTCTTCATTCATGTTGACATCATCGCCAAGGGTTTTTAATATCTATTTTATACTACCAAGAATAATTTGTGAAACAAAGGTTAAATCTAGAGGGCTGTTTGTAAATTAATGTTAAATTCATGATTCTAGGATTTTAAAGAAGATTCATGTATGAACAAATTTGAACTTCCTTTTCTACTCTTTGGCATAATGTCTTGCAAGTTGATGTAGATGAAGTATTTTTGTATAACCCATCAAATGCCACCCCCTAAAATTTATAGTTTGAGTTGTTCTATTTTCTTACTTTGCTAGGCTGTTTGTCTTCTTCTTTGTTAAGATCTAAGCTTTATCCTTTAATTCATGGTATATTTCAAAAGTCTGAGATTCTTATATTCTGTTGGTTTTTGACAGCCAGTCCTTAGACTGGGCTTTGATTGGGACACAAATGAAATGAGTATTTTGATGTTTGCTAAGCTGGCTAAGCCTTTGATGGGAACTGCTAGGATCGTGGTCAACAGTCTTCATATCAAGGGTGATGTAAGTGAATGACAACCTCATTTTCTCTTCAAATTTAAGTAAAAAGGCTAACTTGTCATGAAATGAAGCTTACATAAAGTGAAGTAGGAGACACAAAAACAAGCCTACTCCCTCTAGTCCTAATTATAGCATCACTGAGAAACTGCTTTGGTCTATTTATATTATTCTTCTAATCATTCATTTACATTTTGCAGCTCCTAATTACCCCAATTCTAGATGGTAAAGCACTTTTATATTCATTCGTATCAACTCCTGAGGTGAGAATAGGAGTTGCCTTTGGAAGTGGTGGAAGCCAGTCACTACCTGCTACTGTGTTGCCTGGTGTTTCTTCTTGGCTGGTGTGTTTCTTTTCTTATTTTTTTTTAAAAAGAATAGAAATGTATATTCTTTTTACGTTTAGTCTGTTAAACTGTTTTTTATTTTGCTTTCGTAGAAAGTTATTGACTTTGGTTCAGTGTCAACTTTTTAGAAATGGCTTTGCAGAGTAGACATTAAAGCTGACTTTCTACTTCAAATAATTCCAGTCTGATACTCAAGTTCATTAAGATGTGTTTCCATTTGCATGTAGATTTAGTATAAGAAATGTTTGTATAATTGTTATCTATATGTATTAAAAGATCACTCCATCAAAGTGCAGAAGAAACATAAATTACTTTGTCTCTGGGGACGATTTCATTTGTGCAACTTTTTCCATAAAGCTGATTTCAATGTCAAGCTTAGATCTTCTGTATGTTAAACTTGTATCCTTTTCATGTCTGATCACACATGCTCGTTGTCAAGTTTCAAGCTAATTTTACACTCTTTTTATGCAGGTTAAACTTTTTACTGATACCTTGGTGAAAACAATGGTGGAACCTCGCCGCCGTTGTATCTCCTTGCCTGCAGCCGACTTAGGAAAAAAGGCTGTTGGAGGCATTATATATGTCAGGGTGATTTCAGCAAACAAACTTTCTAGGAGTTGCTTCAAGGGAAGCCCTTCCAGGAAGCAAACAAATGGTACATCCAATAGCTCTTCAGACAGCAGCTCTGATGACAAGGATCTACAGACATTTGTAGAGGTAGAACTTGAGGAATTAACCAGAAGAACAGATGTGAGACTGGGCTCAACTCCTCGCTGGGATGCAACATTTAATATGGTCTTGCATGATAATGCAGGAATTGTTCGTTTCAATCTTCATGAGCGTCCTCCTGGCAGTGTGAAGTATGACTACCTAGCAAGTTGTGAAATCAAGGTATGTTATTGATGTTCTCCTTTTTGATCTAGCAATTGGATGGTAGATTACAGCAGCAGGAGCACACCACCTACCACTAATGACTTGTATTCTTTGACAAACAGGTTTTCTTTTTCAGCCTTTTGCTTTTGTATTATGCTAACTTAAATGTTTATTTGATTAGATGAGACATGTTGAAGATGATTCAACAATAATGTGGGCAATAGGACCTGGTTCTGTTATCATTGCAAAACATGCAATGTTCTGTGGAGATGAAGTTGAAATGACTGTCCCATTTGAGGGGGCCAATTCAGGAGAGGTGCAATATCATACTCGTCACTCATAATCTGTTTCCTTTATTTTAACTACCAGATTTGTTTTGTAATTGACACAACTTGTTATGAAGAAGGGGGAAAGAATATTTGGGGTGATATTGATAATTGATAGTAAATTAGGGATTAATTTGTCAATTAAGGCAAAATATAGGAACTGTTGAAGTCTTAAAAAATTGGGGATTGTTTTAGGTAAAAGGACATTGGGGATTTTATTTGATCATCACCATCTCTCTCTTAAATCTTGGGCTCTATGTAAAGCCCCAATTACAATAATTGTTGAGTAGTGGATCAAGTTGATATCTATATACATGCGAGCTATAGTTAACTTAGCCTTTTTGTTGGGTATTGGATAAAATTGATATGCTATAGTTAGTTAGCTTAGCTTTTTTTGTTGAGTATTGGATATAATTGATATGCTATAGTTAGTTAGTTTAGCTTAGCTTTTTTCGTTGAGTATTGAATAAAATTGACTTATATATATATATATATGTGCACTCATGTGCTTGTCCACATGTGATAAAATATAGTTTCATCTTACTAGAATTTTTTTTACCTTTTGATTGACTATTTTATCTTGTCTATATTTCCATCGTTTAATAGTAATTAATATATAAATTTTATAGATTAAAAGTATGGTATAATAAATAATTTTATATATTACAGATGAATATAGATACATTACTAAAATTAATGGATACTCTGTACCAAAAAAAAAAAAAAGGAATACTTTTTATTTTTCATGGTCTATAATTTTCTTGACATCTTGATTCTTGATGAGAAAACCAAATTAAAAGTTATGGTGTTTAATTGGTTCAACCAGTTTTTGACTGATTTTATGGCACGTTGGCTTTGAGAGTCAATTGGAGTGGAAATTTGGTGTATTAGATTCTTATGATAGCGTAATCTATAGTGTACTCTTCTGACTGGTATTTTTTATGATAGAGCTGATGCCAAGGTGCTCTTTCAATCCCAATTTCTATTTAGAAATTGATAATTGATTTGCCTTTTCTTAATGCAGAGAAGTCCTTAGTAACTAGGATATTTTGTTCATGACACCTCTTTTCATTATCTTCTGTAGTTAAAAGTGAGCATTGTAGTGAAAGAGTGGCAATTATCTGATGGTTCGCATAGCTTGAACAACTTACGAATCAGCTCTCAGCAATCACTTTATGGTTCATCAAATCTTCAAGTAAGGACTGGAAGAAAACTTAGCATAACTGTTGTGGAAGGAAAGGATTTTGCTGCAAAAGACAAATCTGGAAAATTTGATTCATACGTAAAATTGCAGTATGGAAAGGTGGGTTAGACCTCTCATAACACTGACGTCATATTGTCATTGATCTTAGACTTCTACAGCACAGTTAATACGAGATTATTCATGCAACTTGAGTGCATAATTATGCTTGATCTGATTCTGCTGTTAGCTGTCATTCAGGTTGTCCATAGAACAAGGACGGCTCTTACCTCAAATCCTGTGTGGAACCACACCTTTGAATTTGATGAGATTGGTGATGGTGAATATCTAAAACTGAAATGCTTTAACGAAGATACTTTCGGAGATGAAAACATTGGCAGTGCCACTGTAAATTTGGAAGGACTGGTGGAAAGGTCAATCAAGGATGTATGGATTCCTCTTGAAAGAGTTAGTTCTGGAGAATTAAGACTTCAAATAGAAGCAGTTAGGGTGGACGATCAAGATGGATCGCGGGTATGCTTCATCACTTAAGAAATAAGTGATCCTTCCAATTTTTGGCACTGCAGAATATCAAAAGGAAGAAAGGACACATCTTGCTGTGACATTTTTATATGGGAGAATTTCAGTTAAGGACCAAGAAAGAGATTTAATTTCAAGTGAGTTCAAAAATGTTCTGGAATTTCAGTTCAGTTTAGGAGAGAAAAATCAAAAGAATTTCAACGTGAAAAGATCAAAATACCTTTCATGTGTTATGCAGAATCACTTGTTATTAATTTTCTTACTGTACTTGTTAATTTATCAATATCACTTGTAAATAATATTCATTTGTCAGACAATCAATAACATTAGTTATTAATCTGCTAACTTTACTTGTTAGTTTACTAACATCAGTTATAAATTGCAAGACCTGTTAGTACTTTACAAATGATGTTAGTAAATTAATAAGTAAAGTTAGCGATTTAATAACTAATGTTATTGCTTTTGATTGAAAAAGTAATGTGAAGTCTTATATAATTATTGACATGTTAATTTATGTAATTTGCAACTTATATTCGTAAATTAACAAGTGAAGTAAGAAAATTAACAACTAGTGATTTTGCATAACATGTAAAGGGCATTTTGGTCTTTTTATACAAGAAATTTTTTGACTTTTTTCTCCTGGATTGAACTGAAATTTCATAATATTTTTGGACTTACTTGAAATTAAGTCTTTTACCTGATCCTTAACTGAAATTCTCTCTTTTTTATATATGTATATAGTCATTTCACATCTGGAATATTCATTGTAACATGTTTTTGTTTTTGTCTTTGAGATATCCAGGGTTCAGCTTTGGGCTCAAGCAATGGTTGGATTGAGCTTGTTCTGATTGAAGGAAGGGATCTTATTGCGGCTGATCTCAGAGGCACAAGTGATCCATATGTGAGGGTGCAATATGGAAACCTGAGGAAAAGGACAAAGGTTATAATACTATAACCACATTTCTTTTCAATGAAACTGAATGCTTTTAGGATTTGCAATTTTATGTTTCCAACAGTATACATACTGATCATACTAATGCCAGTGCATGATTTCCAATTGCCATGTTGCTTTGTATGATTTTGCCGTCCGTTTTCCTCTCTGCGGATTAAAAAATCGCTTGTTTACTATTATACAAGGGAAACACTTTTCGGAATATTCTTTTAGGGGTTTTCTAAACTGATTTTAATTGTGCATCAAAGAATATTATTAGATGGGTTTCCAATTACTAACTAGCTGTTTTATTTGACAGGTCATACCCAGAACTCTTAACCCTAAATGGAACCAGACCTTAGAGTTTCCTAATGATGGAAGTCCCCTATATCTGTACGTTAAGGACCATAATGCTTTACTACCCACATCAAGTATAGGTGAATGTGCAGTCGAATACCAAATGTTGCCTCCAAACCAGATGGCTGATAAGTGGATACCTCTTCAAGGGGTCAAGAAGGGAGAGATCCACATCCAAATTACCAGGAAAGTCCCAGAGATGCAAAGGAGACCTAGTCTAGATGCGGAACCTTCCTTGAGTCATTTACACCAAATTCCTGCCCAGGTAAGACATCACTTGGTGCCGCATATTTTCTCAATTATCACCTCTGTTTACAGATTAAATTCTTTTATATTGTTTCGTCTGACCCCATTATGATTAATTGAACTTGGTCAGATCAAAGAGACGTTGGTAAAGTTTCGGTCCATGATAGAGGATGGGAATATTGAGGGACTTTCTACAACTTTGAGTGACCTTGAAACGCTAGAGGATACACAGGAAGCCTATATAGGCCAGCTGGAGACAGAGCAAATGCTACTTCTCAGCAAAGTAAAGGAACTAGGCCAGGAGATCATTAATTCTTCTCCTTCTATGACCAGAAGATCCACTATAAACTGACCACCTTCTACTTCCCTTTGAAGCAAGTTCTTTCCAACGTTTAATGTTGCTGTATGGTAACTAGGAGTGATAAATTTTGTAAATGTTTCTCACACTAGCAGCGACTCTTATAGTTGCCCATCATTAAAATAAATTATTAAACTTTGAACTATTTGTATTCAAATGCTGTAAATGTAAAGCAACGGATTATTTAGTTGATGCATATTCCTATTCTCACAAGCCGCTGTAAATAATTTCACTTAGGCTTGTGAGTCGGTCAGTCCATCAATGAACTATGTTAAATTGAAAAGTGTGTGTAAATATAAATTTGAAATCGATCTATCGATACGCAGCTATATAAAATTGTATTAAGTTATAATGTAACTCATTTCAAACTCATCATGAATTACAAGCTTACAGTCTAGTTTATAATTATAAAGGCACGTAATTTGTTACAAATGCACAAAAATTATGGCTTTGGAATTCATATTTGCTTTTATATCAGTTTTCTTATTTATTATAAAATTTGTAAACTCGATAGCAACAACGAAGTTTTGTTAGAAAATATGCATGTTGAAATAACTAGAAGGCTTACGTATATTTGAGAGGAGTATGACTTGTCAATATACAACTATAATCCAGTCAATATTACTTGTTTTCATACTTCTACCCATATTGCATGTCGTCGATGTTACCTGAGCTATCCTTTAAAAAAAAAAAATTTCATGTTACATGTCTGTAAAAAAAATCCCCATTATAAATAGGTTAATTGCTAATTTATTAATTAATTACGATTAATATGAATGGTAGACTCTTGAATCCTCTACATTTGTACATGTATAATTTAATTTAAAGAGGTTTATTATTGATTTCATATTGAAGAAGATATTACTCCTTTTGTTGAAAAATAGAAAACATTTTATAAAAGTTAAATGTTAAAAAATATAAGGTATTTTAATTTTTTTAAAGTGTAATTATTATCTTTTTTTAAAATGTCTTTATTAATAATGATTTTATATTTATTATAAAATATTTAATAGAAATAAATATAAAAAAATAAAATTAATTTAAAAATAAATAATTATATTATTAAGGAGTAAAATTTAATTAAAAATATTTTATATTTTTAAAGTGATGGAGTATTTTGTTATATATTTATTGTACTTGAGAAAAAATTACTTGTTTAGTCACGCGCATGCCAACTCAGGAAAGTGGGTGAATGAAAGGTAGGAGTTTCCGTGAGGAATAAGGTTATTGCCAAATCTGAAAATATCCCCACTCCCCGATTGTCCGTTCGTCGAAGGCTAAAAGGAGGGAAAAACGCTATCGCCTTCTCAGGGTGCCCTCAAGACCGAGCCAAGCCAAACGTTTCTCTATGCTTCCACACATCGTTCCTCTCCTGCAATCTGCAACTTTCTCAGCGTCCAAACAACGGCTGCTAAAGCTCAACACTAACAATCCAAGCAACACGTGATGTGATGAACCATATTCCATGGCAGTCAAAATGGCGTTCACTCCTGTTCAATTATCAGAATTACCTCTCAAGACTTCACTTCCTTTGCCCTCTCGCTCCTCCACTCTCAACCTCTTCTTTTCCTCTTCCAGATTGTCATTTCGAGTTCTCAGGCTGTTCTCTTCCCTTCGAACTACTGAGCACAGTGGAGACAGCTGTTCTTATCCCTGGGATAACGACGACCCAAAACCGTCCCCAAAATCTAACTCCCACTCTGCCCCTTGGCTTAACAAAAGCCCCTTTACAAACTCTTCAACCCAGTCACTTGACCGAAAAGCCAACAGAAGTGTTTCCGAATCCGAATTGAATACTGAGGACCCAATAAGTGAAGCTGAGACTTGGTATTTTGATCAAGACAAAGGAAAAAACGCGATTGAGAGAATAGTTCATGGGTTGCGGAACTTGGGGTTAGGATTAGACAATGAGGCGGAGGAAGAAGAGGGAAATGAAGTGGAAGCCAGTGATGCAATGCCAGTAACTGGGAAGGAGAGACTGGGTGATTTGTTGAGTCGAGAGTGGGTTCGGCCAAATAGTATGTTGATTGATGATAAAGGCTATGAGATGGTTTTTCCATGGGATAGAGATGAGAAGGATGAAGTAGAGGAGAGTGAGAGGAGATTGAAGAAAAGGAAACTGAAGCCGCCAACTACGGCGGAACTTACACTTGAGGAGCAGGAGTTGAGGAGATTGAGGAGAGTAGGAATGGAAGTTAGAGATAGGATTAGTGTACCTAAAGCTGGGCTCACGCAGGCTGTGCTGGAGAAAATTCATGACAAGTGGAGGAAAGAGGAGGTGGTGAGGCTTAAATTTCATGAGGTTCTTGCACGGGATATGAAGACGGCTCATGTGATAGTTGAGGTTTGTTGTTGTCTACAAGATTTTTTTTCTCTCTCTCACTTTTACGTCTCTGAATCACAAAAAGTAATTAGTAATTACTTCAACACGCTAGACGTCTTGATCCATTTTAGTAGCTGCACTGAACGTAAATCCACATCATTTTGAGTCTTTGAGGTCACTGGAGAGTTTTCTGACTTCAACATGCCAATCTATTATCAATCTGAAACCTGTTGGCAGCGGTGTTCTTTGGCTGAGACATACTTTTTTGGTTGAAGACAGTAAATGTAGAACTTTTCTTCAATTTCATCTCTGGTAATTAATTTTTGGAGTTCCATTTGATTATACCACGCCTATGCGGAGATAAGGAGCATAATAAAGATATGCATTGTTTTTTATAATTGACCAGAACCTTATCTTTCGGTTGAGTATGCGGAGTTGTATGGCCATTATTAATAATTAATTTACTAATTTTATAAAAAAAAAATTCTGTTGTTCTAGGCAAACCAATGAAGTTCCATCATAGGCAAACCAATGCTGGGTTGAATACACCAAGTTCCATTTGATCGGACATCGTTTTTACTTCCAGCTAGGCAAACCAATGCTTGTACTGTATACAAGCTGTTAAGGAAGAGCGAAAGAAATGCAAGAAATCCATATGATGTAGGTGTATGTAAAATTCAAACTCAGTGGTTAAGTAGTTTGAAACTTGAATTGTTATAGAGCTTTACAACTTTAAAATGATATAGAAAAGGCACAACTGTAAATTATTATATTTATTCTATTTTAATGATTTTGTATGAGAAATGTGGGAAAGGGTATGCTTTTTGATTTGTCAAGGCAAAAAATGTGGATACTTTATAGTTTATTCTAAAGAATTCTTCACAAACCTTTCGATTTTTGTTAAATAAATGCCTTATACTGCAAGCTTTTTGACTTTTCAAAGAGTGCGTTCCATATTACATGTTGCACTAAATGCTAATAGTAAATGTAATTGGGTTTCCTGCCAAGGCTTTATATGTCAGGTCTGTTATCATTGCTTCTATGATTGACAATAGTGCAGAGTAAAATACGTACGTTCTATTTACGATATATGTGTTAAGAAACAAATGCAAGAACTGACTTCTTGTAATGCTGGGCAGCGTCGAACTAAAGGATTAGTCATATGGAGGTCTGGAAGTCTAATGTTGGTATACCGTGGATGTAATTATGAAGGGCCCACATCTAGGTGCCAATATAATGAAAGTGAAGGTGATGGCCTTTTTGCATCAGATGTCTCTCCTGGCAGTTCATTAGAAGCAGATGATAGTAATGCAACCTCATCCCTGGAAAAGAGTAACCTAGTTGTGAGGAATCAATGGCCTGAAAACTTGACAACAGAGGAAGCAGAGTACAACAACCTGATTGATGGTTTGGGTCCTCGTTTTGTTGAATGGTGGGGCACAGGAATACTTCCTGTTGATGCTGATTTACTTCCTCCTATAGTTCCTGGTTACAAAACACCTTTCAGGCTTCTTCCCACTGGAATGCGCCCTCAACTAACCAATGCAGAGGTCACTAATTTACGGAAACTTTCTAAGTCACTTCCTTGTCATTTTGCATTAGGTATTATTCATTTTCTACATATCTTTATTGCATTTGTATATATGCTTTTGATAAACATCTTTTGCCGACAATTAATAAAGGAAGAAACAGAAATCATCAAGGTCTGGCATGCGCTATTCTTAAGGTTTGGGAGAAAAGCTTAGTTGTGAAGATTGCTGTCAAACGTGGGATCCAGAATACAAACAATAAGATTATGGCCGACGAGCTCAAGGTTTGCTCTTCGTAATTTCCTATTTATAAGGATTACTATTTTTGCAATTGTGCTTGTATCAAGCCAAAGACATTGCATTCTGGACAAAGTGCTTACTGTTGAATTAACATATCAAGCTTAGCTGTATGCTAAATCTTGTTTTATCCTGCTATAATTCAGTTATCCATTGAAGCATTTTCCTATGGAAAATTATCATGAGAACAAGTTTTTGTTCCATAATCACATCATCAGCTTTTAATAATCTAAGAAAAGAATAACTATAAAAAGGTAATTATAGATCTGAAGAACTAACACGCCTTCATATTTCAATTGTCCCAAAACTAAATTTCCATAAACTAAAATCTTCATTCTTGTTATCATGGGGATAAATCTCTGTCAGAATGGAGATTTAGATATGCATTCTTTTGGATGAATCTATATAATTTGACGGAAGCAACATTTTGTTTACATTAGCTTGTGAGTTGCTGTTTAATTACTGACACATGATATGCCAAGAGTACAGAGTAATGCATTAACTCTGTTGAGTTAAATATGTTTGATTTTCTTTTATGCCTCAGAATTTAACAGGAGGATCGCTGCTGCTAAGGAATAAATATTATATTGTACTATATCGTGGGAAGGACTTTGTTCCAGCAACCGTGGCTGCAGTTTTGGCTGAAAGACAGAAATTGGTTAATCAGGTGCAGGATGTTGAAGAGAAGGTGAGGTGTGGAACTGTAGATGCCGTTCCATCAGGGGAAGATGAAGTAATAACACAGGCAGGATCACTGGCTGAGTTCTATGAGGCTCAAGCACAATGGGGAAGGGATGTATCTGCTGAAGAACATGAGAAGATGATGGAAGAAGCTGCCAAAGCCGAGAACATAAAGCTTGTCAAAAAAATTGAACATAAACTAGCTGTTGTAAGTGTCAACTTATTTTATGAAGTTTGTACTTTAAGAATGCATTTGGAGATATAAGCATAGATGATAGATATGGGTTCGGCTGCAGGCCTTGGTTTGGAATTCTTGCTTGGTGAAAATATAAGTCCAATCAACTCATTTTTCCTCAATAAATTTTGTTGTTTTAGGCTTTGTCCACAAGTAACATTAAAAGCTTGAATTTGGACTTTCAGATTTTCTAAATCTAGCACAGGTGGCTGTTTCTATTTTATTCTTTCACAATACAGGTTTATAACAATGCAGATTACACAGCTGAATGGATAGAGATGTTTATACTGATTTATATAAATTTAAATTAGTATTTCTATTTTTATAGCAACACTTAATTTGATTTATGCTCATTTATGGACAGGCCCAGGCCAAAAAACTTAGAGCAGAAAGTTTGTTGGCTAAGATAGAAGCATCCATGGTTCCAGCTGGTCCTGATTATGACCAGGAAACAATCACAGATGAAGAGCGTGTGATGTTTCGCAGGGTTGGTTTAAGAATGAAGCCATACTTGCCACTTGGTGGGTAATTTTCTGCTGAATTAAATTTTCCATTATGTATCATTGCAATGCTAACATTTTGTTCATGATAATCTCCAGGAATACGTGGCGTTTTTGATGGTGTCATTGAGAATATGCATTTGCATTGGAAGCATCGAGAACTAGTAAAATTGATAACCAAACAAAAGACCCTTGCTTTTGTTGAAGACACAGCAAGGTTACTGGAATATGAGAGTGGAGGAATACTTGTGGCAATAGAAAGAGTTCATAAAGGATTTACTCTTATATTCTATCGAGGAAAAAATTATAAACGGCCAATTGCTCTGAGGCCTAGAAATCTTCTAACCAAAGCAAAGGCATTGAAGCGTTCAATAGCCATGCAACGCCATGAGGTTCAAACTTTGCATTGACAATTGCTAATCTAATCATCTTTTATATATCTGCAGCGTTATATTTGATCTAGTATTTATCATGCAGGCTCTGAGTCAGCATATAACTGAGTTGGAGAAAACTATTGAACAAATGAACAGAAACCTTGTAAGTTTGTAACATAGCAATATAGTTTTTGTCTGTTTTGTTCTGTTTCATGTTATTTTTGTTGTTTCTTGTTTGAAGGTTTCTTGTCCTCCAGCAACTTGTACTTTTATCTATATCTAGTTCAATATATTCTTCTGTATAAGGAAGTTATAATCCGTCTAGTTGTCTTTACTGGGTGCACTTTCAGTAAGATATTACTCAAGAATTATTTGACAAGACCGACACGCCAACCTCACCAAATATTTTTGGGCTTGAGCGCCTCTAATCAGTTTTTGCATTTTAAAATTGGAGAGATTTCTGCCTTCCATGCTGAGACTGAAAAATGATTTTCCTCTCGAGCATGAGTTTTATGTACACCATCCCATCTTAGGAAGTTCAACAAAGCTCTGATCTTGAATGTGGGAATGCTTCTACTAATCATTTTGCAAAACTGTCTGGGTTCAGCAAGAAGAAATTTCCTTTTCTTTTTCTAAGAATATTTATGTCCTAAATTTGATAGTTTTCTACATTTTTGCCTAACATTTCATTGATGCTCTCTCTCTGCTCACTAGCATGGGATGATAATATTTATTTTTGACATATAACTTAATCACTAGAAGGTTTCTCAACTGTGTCGACATGAACTAGTCTGAATTTTTCTTTTCAATGATTTGAAGGATATGTCTCAAGGTTTGGAACCTGAGGATAGTTGGAGGATGAAGTACCATAACCACATGGACCAGAACTCAGAGTTCACCCTAGTATGACACTGTTTGTCCCTACTCACTCCTGCCTGCTTGCGTTGATGAAAATATAAATTAAGTCCTGGCCATCGTAATTTAATGTTAGCAATAGTATTTATAAGTTCCTGTTCTTCAGTTTTTCATGAAAGACTTGGGTGGTTAGTTTTGGATCTAATTATAGAGTATGAGATTGGTTGTAAACTTGTAACCTTTATTTCCTTCTTGTCATTTGTCTTCTCGAAGAGGGGAAAAAACTCCCTGGAGAAAGGGGAAGTTGTTGGAAGAGCGTTGAAAGAACAAATTATAAAAATATTTTACGTACAATTTTATTTTTTAATAATTTATCCCATTGTTGTTACTTATTTGCAGAGTGAGCAGGAAGACTCTGATGGTTATGACAATGGCAGGGGTTTTGATGAGGAAGATGCTACTCGGGAATGATAGAAATTCTGAATATCCAATCTTTAGAGATGATGGCAATCCTAAGGCTATGCAAAAGTCTTCCAGTCCTGTTTGGTCCAATCCAACTCGAGATGGTCTCAGTCTTGTTCGGTCTGTATAGACATCGGTCCTTCAGGACTAAAAAGACTGAAAAGACCAGACTATTTCTTCAGGTTGGACTGGACAAGAGACTAGGCATCCGGACCATTTGGTCTAGTCCAGTCCTATTAATTTTTTTATTATAATTATAATTAATTTATTTTTGACAAATGTTTGAATTGTAATTGATGGTAAGGAGATGATTGTATGAAGATTTGTTGAGTTTGTTTCTAAATTGTTATTGTAATATAGTGTTGTTAAATTTTATTGAGTGTTGTTTTTGTTAAAGTTATAAATTTAAATCATTTGGACTGTAACAGAAATATTTTTTTCTTATTGTTGGAAATTATTATGGATTTATTATTATTATAAGTGTTTTTACTATTTTAATTGAGTTTATTATGTTAAAATGGATTATTGCCTCTCATAGAATAAAAAGGAAAAAAAAAGCTAAGTGAATATTGAATTGATAGGATCAGTCTCCCAGTCCTATGGACCAAGTCCGGTTTTGTTAATTTTCGAGTTATCACTGAACAAGACCGAATTACGAGTTGCCTAATTCAGTCCTTTTCATGAAAAAGTCCTTTTCATGAAAAAGATTAGACTTCAAGTTAGGGTGAAATTCAGTATCGTCCTGTTTTTTGTGCAGCCCTAGCCATCCTATGAAGGCAGTTTGACATATTTGTACTAAAATTTCCATTTGTTCTGAACTGCACCTTTGATTGCCTGCAACCTATTAGCTATTAGGTATCAACCTTGCTAACATGAATGGTTTACTCAGAAGTTCATAAGTAGGATTTTCACGTGCTGCATTTAAATGTAATGATCTCATTTCTCAAGCAGCATCCATTGCATTCAGAAAAATGAATGCTTAGAGAGAGAGAGAGAGAGAGAGAGAGAGAGAGAGAGAGAGAAGGGGGCACCAGGGGGATGATGAATGTAGGGATGGGACGTGGATCCCACACACTATCACATTCTTTTGCGTGTGTGTGTCTCTTTCTCAAGCATGAATGTAGAAGATTCAATTTTTTCACTTATTTAATTCTGATGCCATGCCACAAACTAGCTGTGTGATTCATGCGCCTCCCGCATATAAACTAATAGACATAATGGGTTGGTTGATGCATTTGCGCTAGATAGACTTTAGTTTTTTTTTTTTTTGGGGGGGGGGATGCACCCCCTCAACTTAAGAAAAATTATAAGAGTTCATATGTTTTAATATTTTGCACCTTCTGGTCTAACTTTAAAAATGTTTGGGTTCTAAAAAAAGTTATTCTTTCTTGAAGTTAAGGATGATATTATCAATTGTCAAAGCAATGATAAAAAAAAACCTTTTTTTATATATGAAATTTGTGAAAAATTGATTGTAAAATGCATGGGAGATTTATTGATAAATAATTGTTTAGTGTCTTATATTAAAAAAAGATATTTTCCTAACATTGATAATGAGATTATTGTTTAACAATTTCATAATTTAAAGTCATGTAGTGTGCAATATTTTTTAAATTGTTAAATTATTTTTAAATTATTAATTTTAAAAAATGTTGTACCCCATGACTCAGGGTTTTAGCACCGTCACTGGATGTACTGTTGTTTTTTTCACCGATTTTCTAGTACCAATGCATGCAGCAAGCACAGCATAGGAATTTTGTCTTTGATTTGTCAAAGAATTTATTTGCTGTTTTAAGCTATGAATAATTATTGTTACGTTTCATCAAGTGTATCATATGATATTTAACTTTAGATCTTCAGTAATCATTCTGTAATATAAATAGTAATTAAGAGGCCAAATGAGAGTAATTTAAATAAGATTTGAATTCGATGAGTGGCTTAAGTTCATTCACTCATTAAGTGTCTCAATTATAATAATTGAGTTTCATCAATGTTTGAAAATTATCAAAATACATTTTCCTCCAAAAATTTAATATAATTTTTATGATCATAGCACTTCTCACATATGTTATCCCTTCCACAAATGTGAGATTCAATACTTTATGAGTATGATATAATAAAATTTCTGACAATCGTTTAATTAAATTGACTAGTTGTTATTGTGTTACATAAGACACTTATCGAGTAATTCATCGGATTCAATTCCAATTTGAATGCTTCTTCCTCTGTTTATAAATCTTTGGAGCTGATATAGAGGAGTTCGACTTGATCACGTTAGTCTGCCCGCCTCTTTACTTGATATGATGTTCGCAAAGATTCTTCATCCCTCAGTAAAGGATGATTCCTTTCTCATACTTCTTTTCCTAATATTTTGCTTTCCAGAGGTTTTATAGTTTGCTTCTGTGGCATAACACAGCCACTAAATGAAAAATGCCTGAAGATGCAATGTGATTACAAAGAATTTAACACACTTGATAAGAGAGAGTATCTCTAACAACGTGGGTTTGATTTTTTAGGAAAATTGTTTAGAAATAAAATTCTGAATACACTAAAGTTCGCATTACATTTAAATTGGTGGATTTGATAATAAGTACCTAAAAAGGAAAAACTATAGTTTTGTTAGTGTATGTATAGCTATGCCCAAATTAAGATAGATTCAACAGTTCACCACGCTTAGTAATTTTTATTGTTGGAGCAAATTGGTCCCTGCAATCCATGTTATAAATCCCTCACCTATTGGCTATTATAAGCAAGATTTCAATTTTATTTGCTTTAGCTTCAATAGTTTTGTGGTAAAACATAAGCCTGGGATGAGATGTCTGAGTCTCAGAATTCAGTGTTGATGTTTTTCTGTAGCAATTTTTAGTATCTTTGACAATTTGATTCAAGTAGATTCTTTCCATAACGATGCATGAACTGAGAAAATTCTGGACAGCAAAATATGAACAGCCAAGCAAATAACTGTAGATTGCTATCCAAGCACTGAACATAAAGTAATTGATGATTGGCAGATTTTGTTGTCTCCCTAAACCATTAAACATTTATAAATACATAAATCAATATTTTGGAATGGTTAGTTTTGCAGCAAACTGTTCTTGATAGGATGATCAATGTGTATTCTGTCTGCTGCTATGCTTGTCAAGCCAAGATATGATATCATCAAGCACGCTAAATATAGTCTCATCAGGTTCACCTCCAAGTAGATCATGGTAAGCATTCTTATAAAGGCGGAACTTCTTGTCCTCAACTCTAGCTTTTTCGTACAAGGCCTCGCTAGCTGATGGATCGGTTATTATGTCAGATTCTCCATGCATGATCAACAATGGCAGAGAGACCTAGCAATTAGAATTATTTAAGTTCCACTAGAAACACGAACAAAAAGCTACTAATTATGTCCCTGCCTTGCTCATGATGCACATATGTTAAAACCATTGGAGTATTTTACGTGTGGTTAACAAATCTGAGGGAGGGGGGGATGGAAAACTTGTTCAGTTTGTATCCTTTCAGAATCCTTAGTTAGCTTTTAATATCCGATGAATTGTAAGTTCAAATTGGAGGAAGAAAGACAACTAAAATGTGTTAAGAAGGAATCAGAAGGAGAAGTTTACTTCTTCCAATCGTTGTTCTATCTCTTGTGTGGCTTTAAGCAACTCCAGTGCAGTTCCTAGCCTTGGTTTATCCTTGTACATTAATACATTATAGGGTGCCTGATGCAAATAAGGTAAAATTATTGTGAAAAATGACAGAAAACTAAAACCTAAGGGGAGTATGCAGCACTACACTATTAACAGCAAAAAGACAGACATGGATGCTTTTCTGCATTTTTATCATGTCTCCAAGTCAAGCACATCTTGATGTATTTATTCTCAAGTCATAAGTATCAACACCTACCAATTTTCTCTTGTTCTTATCCCTAAATATATTCTCTTTCACCTCTTCCTTTTGTGGCACCAGCTTAGTTTTGGGGAAAACCTTGGCAACACCAATAAGTATCTGCTTCAACAACCAGTGAGGAAGCATATCCTCTGCAAACTACCCAAGAACACTGGTTAATTTGCCGTCATAATAAAAAGGAAGAAGTCAAAGATCTTCATCCTGCTTGAAATTCACGGAGATACCTTGCAGAGAGGTGCGATAAGAGCAGCACCATCCCAAGCAGTAGGTTGTTTGAAGTGCAGCTTCAGAGCAACGGCTCCTCCCATTGACTCTCCTAACAAGAAGCTAGGCAAGTTTTTATATTCCACTTGTTCTGTCATACATAACCACCAGAAGTAAGTGGAGAAAATTTTGAACTAAAGGAAAATCAGAGAATACTGTAAAGCAGAGTCAATAATCAGATTTCTTGATAAACCAATGATTAGGAAGTCTCACAAGCAAAGACATATGGGCTACTATTTAACACAACTAAAAATCCTAAATAAAGGAAATGATTATCATGCATATATATAACCAATGTCCAAAATCATGAAATGAAAAATCAATCTCACCCTTAATTTTGGAGAAATGCTCATTAGCATCGTCAACCAGGTTGTCAAAGTTAGGAATATGGCCATGAAGACCTTCTGAGAGGCCGAAACCAGGGTAATCCATTGCAAATACTCCATATCCTGATGATGCTAACTTCCTTGCAACTCCTTAATGTTACATACGAAGATAGAATGAAAACCCCTTTATTTACTTTCCCTGATACATAAACTAAGTTTGGAAGAGCGTAGTTAAATTCATACCTTCAAAGAAAAAGGTGCAAGTGTCTCCATAACCATGACAGTAACAAACAATTGCTTTCAACGAAGCTTCTTCTGGAAGCCAACTCTTAGAGAATATTTCTAATCCTCTGGAGTTCACCTCATAAACCTTCACTCACATGATTGAAATGATTTACAAAATATTAACCATTTCCATGACACCATAAACTAGAGAATGCAGAAATGAGAAAGCTTTAGTTTAACTTAGGAACGAAGCTACATCTCATGCCTCTACATTTTCAACACGAGAGGTGTCCCATATGCTCCTTTTGGTATCTAACCTGAGTATGAATTTTCGGCCATGAACCTCAGTATCACTTACTGAAAGAAATGAAAAAAGTTATATAAATGTAATAAGAGTGTATAAGTGAGTATATGACAGCTCCCTCCGAATCATCAATTTATCATGCAAAGAGAATCCTCTTGCATTGTAGTTTCATAGCAGATTTACTATCCCTATCTGATTTTGCAAATTCTTATCTTTATCTCTCTGTTTTTCCCCCCATTTGGTTAACACCTCTTCTTTTTCAATCATCCAGAAAAGTTTGAATGCCTCCGTGTCCGTGTAATGTATAGAGGACTGTTCTAGTTCTATTAAACTCATATAATATTTTCTTTTATATTTAAAATTGGCGCGAACTTCTCTTGAAATAAAAAAAGATTTTATATTTCAATCAATTTAATTTTAAAATTTTATCAAAATATCCTCTATTTAGGTTTAATAACATAGATTTCCGTCAACGAAAAATAACTGTATAAGTTTTATTTTAATAAAGAGATGTGCGCGTGTTTTAAATTAAAAAGAATATTACTGTTTTTATCACAAGATTTGTTCATTGATTTCTCAAAAGTTTGATGGAAAGGTGAAAGGAAATATATGGCGATAACGATAGTACTAAAGAATTCTAATCTCTTCTTTTCTGAAAAATGAAATAAGGTGGAAATACAAGCAAGACAAGTCAAAAGCCAAATATGCACAAAACTTTCTGATTGCCGTACCTCCTTCATCTTCACACCATCTGCAGGGGACTGCAGAAAATTCAGAAATAAAAATGAACCATAAATATCATGTGTTTAAATTCTATCAATACAGAATATAAAATCTATTACAAGTCACACTATTCATGGGAAAGTAACATCACGACTTCTATTTGTTGGCAAAAGAAAAATGTCTCATCTTAGATTTCATACAATATATAGAAAAGCATATTTATTAAAATTTAGAACATAAAAAGCATAAAAAAAGAAAACTGCATTGTTTCCAAGTCATAATTATTATAACTGATCTCGGATTTCATGTACGCTAGTTATACATAAATATGATTATTTTTTATCATTCTTGGACACTGTACAGCCACCACCTCAGACACAAACTGATATATGTTACTAAAGGAAAATGAAAAGCCTGGTAAAAGACGATGTTCATGTAAATGCTTCATGGCTTGTGAGAAGCTGAATATATTTCTGGGTTTGGAAGAGGTACCCGCAACAAGCAGTGATGAAGGTCTGACTGAATATGCTTGAAAGCTTCACGAGCTCGACGCCTAGCAGGTGCCTCATCCAAGTTGGAACGTAAGATGCTCTGAAGGTCCTCACTCATTTCTTGTATTGCAGCTTTAGCGCTTTGTTCCATTTCACAGCTCTCTGAGAGACTCTGAGTGAAAGAGAAAGCACAAGATACAACAGAATGAGCAGTTCAGTGAGAAGAGAGGCTCCAAAAGAAGCGGGAAGGTAACTGAAGAGAACAGAGGGTGCCAGAGGATTGGTTGATGAATTAAATATTTCAGAGGAGAGTAGTTAAGTCTTTCTCACCTCCTCATTTATGTCTCGCTGTCTACCTTTGACTTGACCTTTTATTTTAGTACCTTTTGGGCCAGCATTCCATTTACCTTATATATATATATTTAAAAAAAAATGTAATTTTTGAGAATCCACCTAGAGCTAACCTAGATGGCAAGGGTGGTGGTGACGTGGTGGGGCGAGAGGAAAATAAAGAATCAAAACCCTTGTAATGTTGATTATTGAGAATGAAAGTATTTCGATGGTTTAAGGAATGATAAAACTGAAATTTAAGGCGGCTTCTTGTTACATTTCTATCAAGAGTGGCTTGCTGGATTATTAAGTGAAATCAGTGTACTGGTGATAAATTAAGCGCAAGTCGGTAACAAGTTTGTATTTTCTACATAATATTGCTCAGAAAAGAATCAAGTTGTGGATTTTGATGCATGGATATAGTTTGTAAGTGTATTATTCTCTATTTATTGTAGAGCTTGGGTTGATTGAACTTTGTCATGGTATATTGTTACTAATTCGAGCTTGGGTTCGTTGAACTTTCTCATGGTATATGGTTACTTATTCGACGTTGGTTGGAGTAACCTTCCCATGGTACATTGTTAGAGATTTTGAGCTTGGGTTGTCGGCAAAGCCTCCCTATGGACCAATAGTAATTAATAAGTTTGGATGGGGGAATATGTTAACTCCCATGGTGATGATACTTAGATGTAATTGAGCTTGTGTGTGTGCGTTTTTTTTTTTTGGTGGTTACATACAAGTGTTCTCTTATTGGAGGGCATTTTATTTAAAGTATAATTGGACATTAAATATGAACATATCTCCTAATAAAAATTTGTACTTTAATTCAACATGTTGAAAGAGATTACTTCTGTCCACTCGATCCAACTTGTGTTGGATTTTCTTCTCAAAGTTTTAATTAATAAATGTTGAGCTTTGATTGATGTGACGTATCTTTTCATAAATCATGTATACATGTTAGTTTTAGGTGTATAATTCTTTTTTCTTTTTTCCCTTCTATCCTTCAGTTTCTTCTTGTTCAAACTAATTTCAAACCCCTACTATAAGAAATTATTATTACCAATAGCAATTTCATGGTTACCTCAAAAATGTCTTTGACTTATTTATTTGATGCAAGTACATATTTCAAAACTCAAATTCAAAATTCTATAATAAGTGGGTTCAACTCTCTAGTTGAACTAAGTGCTCATTGATTTTAAATGTGTAGTTTTTATTATAATATCAGTTGATGTTTCTTCTTTGACATTATAATATCAAAGAAACATACGTTTGCATGATAAAAAAGAAATTACTTCAAGAAAATTAGTTATTTAGTCTTTATAATTTTAACTTAATTGTAATTCAATCCTTAAATTTTAACTCGTAATTTGGTGTTTATAATTTTAACTCAATTGTAACTTAATCTATGAACTTTGACTCTTGCAATTCAATCCCCGTAGTTTTAACAATTTAAATATTGATCCCTATATTTTAAAAAATAAAATTATAAAAATTAAAAATATTTTAAAAATTTAAAGATTTAAAATGTTTAGTAATTTAAAATATCAACCCCTAAACTTTAATAAAATTTTAACCTTTATAATTTTATTTTTTAAAATATAGGGACTAATATTTTAATTGATTAAAACTGTATTTTAGGAATTGAGTTATAATCGAATCAAAACTATAAGTATTGAATTATAATATATCAAAGTTTAGGGATTAAGTTGTTATTGAATTAAAACTTCAAGGATGAAATGATTAATTTTTTTAATTATTTGTTTATTTCTTGAACAGTCTCACTTGTAGGAAGACAAATTTGGTTGTTATTACAGGTAACGCTTCTGCTAACAAAGGGAAGGAGAAGAAAGTTTACCTGTATGTAATTTTTTATGGCAAATTTAATAGCATGCACTCAATCTTTTGCCAGTCTAGTATTTATTTAAAATATAAACTTAACAACGAGAGAGGATGCCCGTGAGCAATAAAATCTGAAGTTGACAAAAAAACGCTGCGACTTGCTTTCAATTGGCTTCTGGATGATAAAGAACTGTATACCATAAAATACAAGATCGGGAAACATGATTTAGAAAAGATGAAATACCCCCAATACTGGTCGTCTTTAGCACCTGCTACGAAAAAGACGGATTGAAGCAACATAGGCCTCGGAAAAGGAGAGGAATTGAAGTAGAATTATTTCTGCTTGGCAACAAGGTATAGTGGTATGTATATTAAGTTCTCATTCACATTATTTTTTATTTTATTAAACATCCAAATAATAACAATATAATTATTTCAGGTCATGACAGATGTTTACTTTAAAATTTAAATAATAAAATTTACATTATTTTCATTTCTCCAAAGATTTTTCCCCCATACCAGAGGTAACATTGTTCTTCGTTGAGCTAGTCCTCCAATCAGGATGACGGTATCCAAAGTAGTCGGTCAAATTCATTTAATGACAATTTAACAAAAACGGAAACAAACTCATTCATTAGAAGCCACTGAACAAAATGTCCTGGTGTAAGTTAAAGCTCAGTTCTTTAATATTAGATCAGAACATGCATGTGCAATTCATTTTTTAGTAGGCAGTAGGCAGTGCACTGCCATAAAGCATCCCAATTCCTTTTTCAAGCCACCCCACAGAAATAAATGATTCCCAAACCACTACCCAGCCTTCAATAGGCGGTGTTGTTAAATGTCGTGCAGTTGGGGATAAAATAAAACACATCATATTTCATGATTTCACCCACCTAATCACTTTAAGGAACATCCGGCTACCCAACTGCCACTACATAATACTAAAATTAGAAAAAAAAAAAATAAAGACCCCAAAATTCACAAAGTTCAGACCAATCAAATTATAGACAAATTGGAGTTTAATATGTCACAACAACTTGAACTGAGTCAGCTCACGTAGAAACCCTTCATCGCAGCCACTCAGCTCGAATTTAGATGCACCAATTCTCTCTGCGAACAAGCAGCGTTGAATTGGAAGATCAACACCCCAAATCCTGCACCTAATGTATCTTGAACGTTTGTTGCTTTCTTTGGTATATATAGCTTTCTTTGTTTCATTGGCGCAACATTTGTTGCAGCTGTAGCACTTGATTCCTTTGTTCTGGAGGCAGGAGATTTATCTGCTCCGGTGTAAGGCTCATGACCTGCTGAAGCAGTGCCTTCTCCATCTCGGGTGTCAACTACAAAATGTCCACATGAAAAATCAGCGGATGGCATAATTAATCAATCATATTAATTGTTGATTAATATACTTACAGAAGGAGGCCTAAGAGGCTGATTGCCAACGCCCATCTGACCAGGAACTAATGATGGAGGTCCCGGAGTGCCAGAAAGCTGTATTATGCCTTCTGAGAGACCAGGTATCCTAGAAGACCCTCTATCAACTGGCACTGCATTTCCAGCTCCCCCAACCTGACAAACAAGCATCAATTGGCATACAAATCAACAAGAATTTTCAAGCATAGACAATTAGGTATAGACATATCATAACTGACACTGCTCCTCCGGCCAGGTTACTTAGGCTTGCTTTATTGTGAAGCTAAAACTACCAAAATCAACTAGGGTTGTGTGGTCATGTTCAAATGCTAGCAGAACAAATTAGCGAAACTTAAACTGAAACAAAACCACAAATGTGGTATTCAGATTTGGGAATCATCCGCTAGATTCATCTCTGAATATCCTTATAATTTGTCAGAAATCAGAAATATTTTTTGTGAAGTCATGGTGCAGAGAAGAAATAAAAAACCAAATACCAATGAAAATGAGGGGAAAGGGGGGGTCTTTTGTCCACAAAAATTTAGCAGCTCAAAGAAGAGTAGCCAGACCTCTTTCTCTATGAACTTTTTGAAATTTAAGTGAACTTATTTCAAATTATCCTGTAAAATAAAATAAGCCCTCTTTATTCTTTTCCCCCATCCTATTTATTGTTCTTATTGCTTTCACCTTTCCACCGTTCATTTGTGACCAAAGCATGTTCTCTCTATAGAATAAATACCACTGTCAACTTTGTCGGCAAGAGCACCATAACCATCAACAGATATCTTAATGTCTATTAAGGATTAATTATCCCTGAACTCAAAGACGCCAACAAATAGTCTCAGGGTGCAAGTCAAGCATACCTGATAAGGTGACTGGGTAGCTGACTGACTTGGAACTGGAGTCAGACCCTGTGGAAACGATGGCCCAACACTTGCTGGCTTCGCACCTGGCTGTAAATTTCATCAACGACAGCATCTTGTTACAATTTAAAATTTAAAATGCTATTACATCATAAATACTCAATTGAAATATTCAACAGACTTACATGAAAAATGGGTTGTGGAAGATTGTGGGGACCGCTAGAATGCGGAAAACCTATATTGGCCCCCATTTGTGGGGGGTACTGATGATGAAAGTTGGGTCCTGAAGGTGGTCTGGACTGTGATTGCATTGGTGGTTGCAGCGGCATATGTGAAAATCCAGGTGCCTGCAATGGTTGCTGCAACTGAGCAGAAACATTTGGAATATGGGTTTGATGGAGCTGTGAAGATGAATGAAGAGAGGGTGGAGGTGCATTAGGAAGTTGTGATGATTGTGGAAGAGACACGTGGGCCATTTGGGGAGTCAGATGTACTTTAGGTTGCTGTGGCACCTGCAAAGAATGTGCAGGCATGGGCTGGGATTGATGACTTGCTGAAGGGACAGCAGCAGATGACATTGGCACTGGAGGTTGGTTTTGGTGTTTCCTTGGAAGAATTTGGTTTTGAGGTACACTTGCTTGATCATGTAGACCACCTTGCCCAGGCAAAAATGGAGCAGGCTGAATGTTGGGCTGTTGAGTCAACTGTACTGGCTGCTGAGTGCTCTGTGAGACTGTTGGCTGAATTTTTGGAATCTAGAAACAAAAAATCGATCATATACACATACTTCCAAGTTCCAATCAAAGTTTGTGAGGATAATAATAAGTTTTATGAAGTCAAAGCATACCGCCGAAGGGGGCTGCACCATTCCAAGCATAATTTGTGCCTGAATAAACAAAGGCAAATCAGAAAAAATGGGATTCAAAATAAAAGCACAACCAAGGGTGATCTAACCGTATCCCCACGGAAGAAGGAAACAATTGAAATTCATGCAAAAAAAAAAAAGGAACAAATTATAATAGCCCCTCCCACAGACTTGCAGATATCGGTGTTCATTAGTATGAGGGCATGACAATTACTAGAGTGGTGCTGGAGCATCTACAGCATAACAAGAATACAATATATATATATATATATCATTGTTCAATACATAATTCAAAAGCAAGTCCCATAAATAGATATAAATATAGATAAACGTAACCCTTAGGAAACCGAGAAGTCACTCTAATGAGTACACCCAACAACAACAACAATAAAAACAAGCCTTGTCCCCCTAGATAGGATCCACTACATGAATCACACTATGCTCATGTGCTCCAACAACAGCCCACTCTTTAGATGTAACATCAACCGAAAATTTGATGTGTACACAAATAAACTAATTCTTAGGGTACAGTTAGATATAGGAGATAAAAGGAAGATAATAAAGCGAGAAGAAAAGGAGTGTTCGAATTTTTTTGGGGAAAATGAGCATGCACGTATCCGCAGAACTTCCGAATAAAGTAGCCAGAGACAAATCTTTCAACATAAAATTCAGAAATTCCAGGTTGATTATGAGTGCCTTTAAACCAACCTAAACGGGAAGAAAAACAGAAATAAACACGAAAACCCTAATTCTAAAAATTCCATTCGGGAAAGCAGAGAACATAATTCACATGATAGTTCACCACAAGCGGGATAGAGTGGAAAAACAACAGCGCAAACGCCACATGCCAATTACAAACAAATAAAAGGAGAGGTTGAGAAAAAAGTAACCTGAAAAAGCGCTTTAGTCAACATTGGATTCTGAATGAGGATCTGCCTCGCTTGCTGCTGGTTCTGTTCAATAAGGCTCTGAGGGAATCGTTAAGATTTTCCACGCCGAATACCCAGAGAGAGAGAGCGGCAAGGAATAAGCACAAGCGTTAATAAGAAATATCGGGGGTATTTGAAAGAAAATTGAGAATTAGACCAAAACGGCAGAGATAAAAGCAATGCAGAACATAAAGAATTAGTCGGATGAGAACAAGGGAAATAGAAATACCTTCATCTGAGACATGATCTCATAAAGCTGGTTCTTTGACATCCCAGCGAGGTTCGCCGACAAGCCGTCGCCAGAAATTTGCTTTCCCGCCATTGTTGCTAACGCAGGAAACAACCGAATTGGTGGCGAATGTAACTTGTGAAGTCAGGAGAGGGCGCTGATCAATAAGTTGTTGGGCTTGGGCTTATCGTCGTTTTAGTTTGGGTTAAGCCAATTGAAAATAAGAGTGGGCTCGTAAGGCTATTAATGTCCATTTTTTGATCAGAATATTCATTTCGGCTGGGCATAAACAATTAGGGCAAGGCAACTAACTGGGAGTTGGGCTTAATAAAAAAAATTAATCTTTTATAATGTGATATATTAAAATTTAATTTTTTATTATAAAGGTGTTCACATTTAGCAATTAATAGTACATCAAATAAAATTACTTGAGAACATATGTGGAAAACAAAATAAACAAATAACCAGCAAGGCCATGGTTATTTGGAAAACAATAGAAAAATATATTTGAAATATACAAATAACAATATGATCTTATGAAATATGATAATTCTTTTTAAATTTTTTAAGACTTTCCTGGCATTAATATCTTTTTTGAAATTACTATAATACCCTAATTTAGAATAAAAAATAAATAGATTAATGACTAAAAAATTTGCAGAGTGAAACTTGTCACTTGTTATCTTGTTTTAGTCATTGTCAAAATACAAATAATCATTACTTAAATTAAAGTAGTCATTGATATTTATAATACTTAAATTTTAGTGATTAAAAAAAATTTGCAAAGAGAAAGTCATAATTATTCATTCTATTTTAGTCATTCTAGTTATTAGATATAAAATATAAATATTTATGTTTTCCTTAAAATATCAAATCGTTTAATAATTTATAATTTCCAATAAAATCATGTTAAATAATAAATATATAACTAATGAGTAAAATAATAAAGATATTTTTTCCATGCGCAAGGGACATGAGAGATAGCACCACATTTTAGACAATTAGTAATGTTATCATGAATTAAAAAATTTCTCAAATATTGTAATCATTTATTTAATTGTTAAACTTTGTGGAGAAAAAAAAATTCGAGGAACATTTTTTAAGGAAAAGGCAAAGAGTTCAGGAAATCATTTTATAAAATAAGTCACAATAATTATAATTTGTAAATAGTGCTCCTGCTTATTGGTTTTAACAAAACACAGGGTGCCCAAAAGATAATTTTATAACAAAATACATTAAAATTAGTCACAAACATTTAATGATGGACCCGTCACTAAATATAGGCATTAGTAACAAATTAAAATTGATCAATAATTACATAAGTTAATGATGAATATAAGATGCTGTTATATTTTGATTAAATTTTAAAAATTTGGTGACAAATTTAAATCTATCACTTAATTATGTCACAAATCTTTATATTAGTCTCAGATTTGTGACGGATATTTTTAATTAGTAAAAATTGGTTAAATATTTTATAAAAATAAAAAATTTTTAATATACAAATTGAGATTCACATTAAAAAAATCTTTAAAATTATCAAGTTAAATAATTATACAAATAGTATTTTTCCTCTCATTATAACTAAAGCATATAATACAAAAAGATATAGAAAAAAATAACAAATAATTTTTTCCTTTTATTATGTAAATATAAAAAATAAAAATTTTATCATATGAAAATATTTTAATTATAACATAGATAATATAAAAATGATAAACACAAATATTTATTTTCATAATATATATTAATTGATATTAAATAATATATTTATTAACTAATAATATATATTGACTTGTATATTTTCATGTGTTAATGTATAAATATGACAACATATATTATTAACATATTTAAATAATAATAAAATATTAAATATATAAACAAATACATTAAGTTAAAAGGAAAGTTGTGTGTAGGTCTTGTAAATCAAATTTATTTATAAATAAATTTTGTAAAATTTAAAAATTACAACTAGATTTCTTAAAATTTGAGTGTAATTTAAATTTGAGGTTAAAAACCAATAATGCCCTTATTAAAAAATAATTTACAACTATCACTTTAACTTTTTATAATAGTAACTTTACATATTTAATAGTTAAATTGGTCATATATTATTAAAAAGCTCAACACTAATCATTAATAAATACTTTATCAGTAATTTATAACTATACATTTAATGGTCAAAAGGTTTGAATACTTGATGTTATAGTTATGGTATTGAAACTCGAACCGGACCAGTCGGATCAACCTGAAAACCGGTGACCCGGTCCCTTGTCCGGTCTGGGTTTACTCCTAAACCGATGAGAGGATGAACCGGTGTAAACCGGTCAACCCGAGTTCAACCCGGTATAATCCAGTTAACCCAGTGGGTTGACTGGGTTAACTGAGTTATTTTTTTTAGGATATTTTATTTTTCATTTTTTATTTTTCAGAGTGCTGAGTTCAGAAATAAGATAACAAAAAAAAAGTAAAACTAAAGTTAAAAAATAAAAAATTAAAGGTAGAGCACGCTAAGTCCAATTCAAATTTTCAAACAGCATTTAGTTTGGCCTTTCATCTGTGTCTCTCCTCTCTCACCCTAACTTAATCAGCGTCTCTTCTCTAGCTTAGTCTTCGTCTCTTCTTCAGGCTCTAGCTCTATCTCCGTTTCTTCTCTAGCTCTCTCTATCTCTGCTATCTCTATCTTTTCTCCAGCTTAGTCTCTAACTCTTCGTCTCTTCTCCAACTCAATCTCCATCTCTTCTCTAGACTTTTGAGATTGAAGAGTTGTAATTGTAATAATAGATGTTTAAAGTATTATATTTTATTACTGTTAGACTTTTGAGTAGTTAGATTTGGTTAAATGTTTTTATAATTAATGTCTTTTTATTTAAATTGTATTATTTTAATCATGACCGGTTTGTCACCGATTCAACCCCCGGTTCAATCCTAATTGAATCACTAACCCGTGACCCAGTGTCATGATCGATTCAATGATTGGTCTGGTTTTACGTACCTTAGTTATAGTTGTAAAAAGTTGTAAAAATTAAAGTTATATTTATAAAAGTTGAAGTGATAATTATAAATTATTGATAAAATAGTTAACAATTATTTGATCGATATAATATATTTTTAATAGGGACATTGTTGTCTTTGCACTCTAATCTTAAATTACATTCAAGTTCTGTAGTTTTTAAATTTTGTGGTATTTATTTATAAATAAGTGACCTATATGTAATTTTTACTAAGTTAAATACACGTGTTTAAGTAAGTAATATATATTAAATTTTATAAATTAATATTAAAAAATTATTACAACTCAATTGGCAAAAAGTACCTACAAAAAGAGAGAGGTTTATTATTAAATTAGTAATGCTATATTTATGATGAAAATTAGTGAAGACCAATCTATCACTAAATCTAAAATTAATGATGAATTTTGTCCACTACTAATTCCCTTTTTTCTAGTAGTATACATCTACGGTCTACCTTCCTTCTATTTTAAAATTCTATAGAAACCTCCTGTAGTATCAATCATAAAAAAAAAAAACCTCCTTTCTATTTTAAGAATTTCATTTTCATCCACCCAATTACTAATTGACTGTTAAGTCATATTGGTTAAATCAAAATACCTCTCTTTAAACATAAATGCTATCTCAATATAATTTAAAATACCAAAAAAATCAATGCATTTTTACTTTCTTATTTTTATTTTTATTTTCAGTTATGTAAAATTATTTATTTATTATTTTTTAAAAATAAATGTATAAATAAAAAATAATATTTCAAACACACATAAAATTATATTTCTTTAAATTATTTATTTAAATATTCTCGCAATTGATTATTTATAGTTTATTAAATTTGGAGAGAGATTATACAATTAAATTATAAAAGGCAAATTGTAAGTTTTCCAACATAATTGAAAAAAAGTAAATATTCTAGAACCTTCAACAGAATATTCTTAACTGTATTAAAAATTAGATTAAAGTATATGTTTTGAAAATACGAGGTCGATATAATTTTAGTAAAATAAAAAGGCAGTTATATATAATAATTTACTCAAAAAATAATAGCACTACTCATGGCTTGTAAATATTTTAATCTCGATAGATTTTGTATTTTATTTTCACATGTACTTGATTTGATAAAATGATAAAGATTTGCTTAACACCATTTAGTTTTAATTTTAACGTAACTAGATTTGGTTATGAAGATGAATCATTAATAAACTCTGCTGTAGTAATATTGAAAGGCAAAATTACAATTGAAGACTGTAAAATTAAATTATTTATTTAAAGGGAACCAAATGTTTTAACATGACTTCAATGCTTATCTAGCATTTTTATATTATATATATATATATATATATATATATTTGGATAAGAGATATTAATAATATTATAACACAAATAGATTGCAAATAGAAAGAGATTGAACACAGCTGAACCCATATAAAGCACAGTTTATTATAGAAACAAGAGTCCTTGTTGAATCTTTTTAATTGATGAATTTCCTCCCACAGGTGCACAGTGAGTTAAACCGTGATGTACAACTTGCCTATTTCAACTCTAATTACAACTCATGAGATACACATATAATTTTGAAGGAACATGTTGGGTTGGAAATTGGTTCCATATATTAGCTGTGACCAGGAACTGAGTTGGATATTATAATTATAATAACAAAGAAGTTCAATAGAATGACGTTAGCTTCGATGAATTCAAGGGCTTCACCAAACGGAGTCCAGATTGAACGGTTGCTGCTGTTGCTGAAGTTGCAAGCATTCTAAGACTTTGGAGGAATGAGAAGAACTTGGATTTGAGATTACATTATCAGTGAGTGACGATCCTCCAAGGTTGGGAACTGCTTGATGAGACATGTACGACGCAAAGTGATCATTGGCTTGCTGATAGCTCTTGAGCTGCAACGCTTTGAGAAGCAAGGAGTTCACTGACAGATTATTAGGATTCAGCATTAATCCTCGAGAAGCAGCACAATTAGGCCATGAAAGAAGAGAGGGAACTTGATCTGTTGCAGCTGATGACCAATTATTGGTGCTCAAGTTCATGTCTGTGTTTACATTAAAGCTGTGATTAATGTTGTCTGTGAATCCTCCAGTTGAGGAACTTGCAATACTAAAATTAGGAAGTTGGACGACGTGGCTGCCCAGTTCATTCACCATTGAGGTTGCATCGCAAGGTGAATCCAAAGACACTTGGGAAGATGATGTGATATCCTGATCACGAGGTTTTTTGGATGCTGATGATATGCTTTTCTGGAACACCCTGCAAACAACCCAATCTTCCTACAAATGAAATGAAAACACATACAAAATACATGTACATTATTATTGATGTTGATGGATGATCGTCAGTATCTGATTAATTAATACATAGTAGAGCTTATAGGATTAGATAGATAGGTATACGTACCTTATCGTGCAGGCGATATTCATGAATAACCCAGTTGGTTTTGAGACCACGAGGAGCTCTTCCCTGGTAGAAGACGAGGGTTTTCTTGAAGCCGGCCAACGCACCGCCGTGAAAGATATGTTTGTCTTTGCCGGTGGTTTTCCAGTAGCCTGATTCCGTTGCTCGGTTGGTTCGAAGTCCTGTCGGATACTTCCTGTCTCTTAGACTAAAGAAATACCATACCTTCTCTCCCATCGATGCCTTACCTGTATACATATATCACCACAGCATGATTATTATTATTTTTAATGAGTACGCCTGTGGGAATATATCTTAAAAAACATCGCAATGTTTAATTTCTTACAAAATTTGTAGATTGTATTTGATGATTGATTATGAATTTTTTTAGTTTTGATAAATTGTAAAAAGTGACGTTAATTTTAAATTATACACTATTAATTCTGTTTTAGGTTTTTAATTAAAATATCTTCGTCTTAGTTTTCCCAACTTGAGAAAAGGAAATTCTTTCTTTCTTATGTATTAAAAAAAAAAGGAAATCAAATTCTTATTCTTGCTTGATTCTCAATGCAAGGACAATTGCAGTTGGCCTTATTTATAGTAGTTCCTAAAGGCTATGTCCTAGACAATAACGGAGTTAAAACTAAAAAAGAGGGTTACAATAGCTTAATATTAAGGGGTCCTGTTACTTAATAAAAGGTTATATATGGAGGCCAGCTTAATGAGAGGTTATGGAACTTAATGAACTATGGGAGTTAACATATAGTGAGAATTATTATGCATGTATGAGTGCAGATAAGTGTAAGACATTCTATCACTGAGGACCATCTGTATTAGATCATTTTATTCATGCATTGTGGAATTAACTTTTAACTTCAGAATTATTTACGTTTTGAAAATAGAACCAAAGTCATGAAGGTTTAACAGATCTCATAACAATAGATTATGTATAACTAATTAATATGGATAGTATCATTAATTGTGGGATATAATGTGCGTGCTTCGGAAAACAGTACCGTGCATCTGGGGTAGATGGTTTTATTTCCTTTTTCTATAGCTTTAGTTCCCCCTCCGGCACTAAATCGTGGAAAAGGTTATACATACAGTACCATTCCAAAAGAATGAATGAGAAAAATGAGAGCGCAAGGATATAATTAAACGGTTAAGATCAAGAACAATAACTGGTCTGCCATAAGGGGGAAAATATTCTATGATAAACTCCTGAGATCAGAGAGAGAGAGAGAGAGATTAAGGAAGAAGAAACTGGACCTGGAAGTTCCCAAGGTTCAGACTTGTTGAGATCAACGACGGATATGGCTTTGGAAGTGAAGGCACTATCAGAAACTTTGCTTCTGAGGTAATAGTTTATGAGCTCTTCATCCGTGGGATGGAATCTGAATCCTGGAGGCAGATTATTTTCATCCTCCATTATTGCTGTTAATGTTCTTACCAGAAAGCCTGCAGCTTTTGAAGAAGCTGACCAAAAGTAAGCTCAATAACATCACCCACAAAAACAGGTATATATGAATAACAAGGAAGTCTTCATATCTTTGTTAATCCCAGCTACCTCCTTTGACAATTCAATATTCTAATTAATAAGGTTTAGTTGTGGTGAATTCCCGGAATTGTCCACCACCAAGGTTTTCGAATATAATTTACTCCTAAACAAACTCCCCGATCAGGTCCAAATTGTAAGATATTCTTTTTTGTCAGTTAAAATTGATTCAAAATATATAAAATACTTAGTACTTTTTTAAAATTTTCTTTTCTAAATTTACCCTTGCATTGATTATTGTGGTGAAAATACTCCCTTCATTTTTACTGTATGACAAACTACGCCAGGTGCGCGCGTGCGCTTAGTTGTTTTTTTTTTTTATAAGTAAAACTCTACATAAAATCCCACAAATATTTATTACATTTTTCTCAATTTGTCGCTCATAAAATCAAAATTTATTTTCATGAGACAATCTTGTTTCATTAATTACAAGAATAATTTAGTCTAAATTAATTAATTTCAAACATAATTGTTATGTTTAACCAAGTTTTTAAAACTGTGTGAGTTATTAAAATTTGCTTACATGTTAAAAAATGGAGAGAATGTAATCTAACAAAACACTTCTCCACACTTTTCATAATAAAAAATTTAAAGGGCAAAACAAAAGGTATATCATTTTTTCATGAAAGCGGAGAAATAATTGCTTTTATTAATATGTGAAATAAATGATTGAGATGTCTTATCATTTGAGACAGAATGAGTATTATTTATGTATCAAAATTATCCTGAGGAGTTGCGTATATAATGTGTTATATATAATTCAGTATAGGAAAATACGAAGAAATTAAATATAACTAATTAATATTATGAAGGATAGTGGCAATTAATCAATTTTGCAAGGAGGGGATTTAAGGTGGAGTCCTATGACACCACATCAATTTTCGGCTACTTTCATTGATCCTGTCCACCCACCTTCACCCATTTCTACCCACTGCAAATCTTTTGCCCACTTAATTAACCATTTTTTCTCTTAATTATCTCTACTTGTGAATAATGTAATTTATTGTTAACACTTGTATAAACTACTACATGATGTACTTTCAGATACCAATTTTTTTTTTTCCTTAGCTTGTTACACTTCAAAAAATATATCAATATAATTATGTAAAATATCAATTGCTAATATAAAAACAAATTCAACGGGTATAAAATTTACGACTCCTTTAAAATTTCTATGTAAATAATGATATTTTTTTAGTCTTCTTATATTTTAAATGATGATGATCATTGCCTGCCCTCTAATTCCCGGGGGGGGGGGCTAAACCTAAATCTGCAATTTTCATATATAGATATTCACACACACACACATCTTGTATCTCCTTATATTTGACATGTACTTCCTATAATCACAACGTAAGGCAGCTTTTAAAAGTCTTAGTTCAAGATATAAGTTATTATAATTGTTTTTATAAATGTGTTTTCAACTATATACCCTTATTCATTTATTACTCGTTTCTTAAAAAATAATGTTTAATTGTCATTATTAAAATACTTATATCAGATTTTAATTAGAGTATAACTGAAAAGATTTAAAACTTTTCATGAGATTAACCTACTTTTTTTAAACCGTGAAGTAGTTACAAATGCTTTAATTATATCGTAGTCCAGATGAAGTATCACATTGAGCATTTCCTTCATTTATGACTAGAATATTGTCCGATATAATTACTTGTTAAATTGATTAATTGGCTACTGATGGGTAATAAGAATCAAAAAGTTCAGCGCTTTGAACAAAGATACGTGAGGCGGTAGAATAATTTAAAGCTAAAATGCGAGCATTATTAATTGTCGATTATTAATGTGATGCATATGTAACACAGTTTTGATATATTCAACGATGAGGTACGAAAATATGTTACTGTGGGTGGTTAAAATGGTGACCAACCCAGAAGACTGTATATCCAAGGGGGAGCATTTCAATTGCATTTTTTTCCTCATCATCGATCGTTCATGATCTTCAAATCTTCGCAAAATTCAATCCTAACTCACAACTTTGTGCATTTCTCCTCCACCACGTGTGTATTAATTTATTTCCATGCAACTCCGTGCACTAATTAACCATAAGCTTCTAGAAGCGAGCTTCTCTGGTGTGAATGGTAAAGGTTCGCGCAAAAGCCAAAAGCTTGAGTCAAAGGAGATTAATGGTGAACAAACCAAAACGGTGGAAGGAATAATATAATTTAATTCTCACTATTTATCTAGTATTGAAAATCAAATCAATCCAGCTGATTGAATCAGTAATTGTTGAATTAGTGCTTTAATTTGACCAATTTAATGAAATATTATGTTCATGATTGGTCCAATTACTGCAATTCAACTATGTTTTTGATCATAATCCTTTGCCTTAACTGATTATATGACCCGTCCAATTTACAGTAATATGCTATTTATTCATGATCAAATTATATCGACCCAATTAAGCTAACATAGCCACGGAGCCCTGCAGGGCTTTTGGCTTTAGACCAATCCATTTCTTCCGTTTTCTTATATTATTGGTGAGAATATGCAAAGAATATTTCCCTCAACGTTAAAACTAACACTTAAAAAAAAAAGACTTTTGCCAAAAATCCAAAAGTTTTTTGCCACTAAAAAGGTCGTGAATATAACTTTTATCGTTAATAGTTTTGTGTGGCGGTAAAAGTTTAGCAACAACATGAACTCTTTTTTAAAATAATAATAATTAAAAACTTTTAGTAACTTTTTTTAAGAAAATAATAATTTATTTTATGCCACATCACTCTACCAGTATGCATCATGTGATACCACCCCACTTACCATATATGCGGTAGATGATGTCACATCACTTGCATCTTGTGCCACGTATATAGTAAATGATGCCACATCACTTGTTACATGTTTGCCTTCTCAAGCCACATCATAACCACACATTATGCCATATATTTGTTGTGAAATATGTCAAAGTAAAATTTGAACTCTTACCTCTCACATTTCTAAGCCTTAAGTCTTCCTTCTTTATCCATTGAACTAAAATGCACATGCAATTATCATATACAAAATTAATATATGTTGTTTAACTACATATACATATGTCAAATAATATATTATTAAAAAGTATACATATATTTTATTTTATTTTCCATTATTAATATGACAAATAATTATATAAATATATTATATTTTAATAAAATATTATTTTATCAGTAAATATTATTTTTGTTAGGAAAAAAAACTTAAAATAAACAAATTTAAATATTGAATAATTTTATTATAAACATTGTAACCAATTATTTATTTTATTTTATTTTTTATTGAAAATAATTAAGTATATAATTTATTATAAATATGTATTATATTAGTTTATGTTAAATATCTTTTACTTTATCTTCTCCATATTTTTCTCAAAAATTAACAAATTAAATGATTAAATTTTTTTCTTCTCTTAAAATGGTTAAATGTTTCACCCTCTTTTATTTAAAAATATATTTTATCTACAATTTTGTAATATCTTAAAAAATATTTAAATAAATTATTTAAACCACATAAATTTTGTTAATATAGAGTCATTTTGAATAATTTTAAATTTTTAATTATACTGATAACTTTTACAATACATGATAATTACAGAGATATCATATATGATTAATTTAGCTAATCTTAATCATTCTCTACCTCATAACAAGGTAAATTTGAATAACTTTTCATATTCTTCTTGGTAATAATTAGTTATAAAATCTTATTAGCAACTTCTCTGTTTTTTTTTATCAATTGAAACCTAATTACACTAGGTAGATCACACAAAATCCTTATCCAAGAGCCATTGGAGCTTAGCAAAAGAAATAGACATCATGTGTATATCAAGCTAAGCATCAAATGTGCAATGTGAACAAAAAGTCTATAATGTCATTTGCATCTTGCGACATTTGTACAACTTTGACGTTCCAACATCATTTATGTATTTATATATAAGTAATAATTTATGTATAACTTAACTTAATTATAATTGAAAGTAATAAAACCCATCAAAATTTTAATTTATCAAAATTAAAATACTAGTTTAATAACATAATTTTTTAAAAATATATGAGTTATTTTGTCTAAAAAAGATTATGAACAATACAAAATAAAAAGTAAATAATAAATTAAACTTAACATATCTTCACTATTATTTTTTTGTTTCATGATCCTATATATGATTTATTTCTAAATATGTATATAAAATAAGAAATTTAATTTCATAAATACCTTTGAATGATTTTTAAATTTTAAATTTTAAAATAATTCATAAGCAATTTTTTAATAATGCAAATGATAATTCTATAAATTATTTCAAGGATAAATTGTGTGGGAATTATAAAGGATGTGATTTTAGAATTTAATGAGTTACTTTAATTTGTCAACCATGCTTGTGATTTATTGCCATGATTATATGAGGCACTATGTTCCCTTTAAATCTTGTTGGTATGCATTCTGATTATTGCATATGCATGTCATGCATTGGTAAGGGGCTGAGAAGATGATGAGGACATTGATTTATATTTGATTGTGACCATGTTATTTGCCTCCATTATGCTCGTAATTGTTGGCCTTTTCTTTGTAGAGCCTTGTTTCTCAATACTTATTTATTTGGCCAAGTTTGTAAAGGGGAAACGTGGGATAGTGATAATTCTTAGTGGATTCTTTAAGGAGGAGAGCCATAGTTTGGAGTTTGGGCTCTATAACCTTTGGCTAGGTGTATATAAGCTCAGCGATGCTTTGGTCAATCCAACGAGTAGGCCACACCATGAATAAGCCTATGGATTTGGTCAGCAATATAAGGTGGGATAGAGCAATTAAGGAGTCTTTTTAGCATATGATCATATGTTGCATATAACTATTATGAATGATGGCCTGTATTATATGTTTGCATATATTGTTATTTATGTTTGGTAGCTTGTATATATATGGTGGGACTCTTTATTGAGACGTTAATACGCACACCCTCTCTTTATATTTTAGGTAAGCTTAGCAAAGCAAAGAAGAAGTTGTAAGAAAGCTTGGTGTTTAGCTGAGTAAGTTTAAATTCCATTTTAGTTTGTAAAATAATTATTGCTAGTATAAAACTCACTTGTCATTTGGGTCAAGTTTTAAAATTGTTTACTGGATCTATTTAGAGTAAATATTTTAATATAATTTTAAATATAAATAAATATTTTAGTATTTATGGTGGGATGTGATGTGGAATGAAATATTATTTTTAGATTCTTTTCTATCTACTATGGTAGACTCTTTTCTACCATGCTATGATATTATTTATGATTTTAAATAAGGAAAAACTTCTATAATTTTGATAGCCTTTTTAACTAGTTTAATCATTTCTACTAAGATTGGATTTAAATATCTATTTATTAGATAAATTTTTATAACTATTATAGTTCTTAAAATATAGATTAGCTCTTTTCCTCCATGACCATCTTTTTAAAATAAATTTGAGAATTGCTTTAAATCTTATATCATGATAATTATTTTTATTAGTTTAAATATTTTTTATCATGATATTTAGTTAAGTTTTTAGTTAGTAAAGTTAGGGTGTTACAGCTTCTCCCAAAAATCTCGCTCCAGATGACGCCTTCTCTTATTTAATTTACCCTAATATTGCTTCAGCATTTTAAAATAGCCCTGCCATGTGGTTTCTATCTTCAACTGCGGACGATCGTGGCCTTCACAATCTTATACCACGAACGGTTCGTTGTGAAATGAACACTTCCTCTCACCTGCGCCTTCATCCATGGATGGGCAAAAGCTTCCTTAATTTCTGATGCGGATAGTAGAGACTCATGTTATCCATAGCCGCAATGGTTTCACATAGAGGTTCAAACTTGCTCCAAGACCCTTCAGCCCCGAATGGTGGAGATTTCTTCACATTCAAAACCACGGACGGTAGAGGATGTTTGGTCTTGTTGTGCATTCTTGGCCCACTTTACTCCAACTATACTTGATTTCCCCTCATTTTAGCTTCTTCTTTTTTCCTAATCACCATAGATGAGCCACGAGTGAGGATATAAAACATATTTCCCAATTTTAATGCTATGATTCAATTTATTCAATAATGAGTGCCCAAAATACAGTTAAATGTTGGCTCATCAGACTAGTTTAGGTATAACAGGAGACAAGAATGAGATCAATCTAAGTTTTATAGAATAAATTATGAATTTTTGAACTTAGCCCAAAATTCTAAAAAATGCCAAGATAAAGCATTTCGGGTTAGAATTTGAACTTTCAAGCCTTTTAGTCTTTCTTGTCTATAATTAACTCTATTTGGAACTTCCGTCCCCAAATTAGGGTTCCTAAAAGTAGGATGTCGCATTATGATTGGGAATTAGAGGCGAAAATATGACAAGGAATGAAATTGAGAGGTTCCACGTTCGTTTTTTTTTTTTCTGGGTCTCTCAATTTGGGCCTGACCTAAGCATTGTCCAATGTAAGGGGGGATATTAATTTAATACAGTCCTATTGTACGTCACAACCCGCGGTATGATTGTTTGCAAAATTAATGTGGTTTTGTAATTGATGTGTCCTAGTAAATTTTATATTGAGTTTTTAAAACAAAAAAAACCTTGATTAAGTAATTTTGATCAATCTGTGATTAAGAAAATATTAGACTCAAAATTAGAATTTTCAAAATCATTCGATCAAATACGGCCCTCTCATTATTGTGACGTCATTAAGAATAATGCTTTTCAGTTTTCAATTGTACGCATAAACCAAGCAAGTGAGCTGGGCCCATATTTTACGGCCTAAAACAAGCCATACAAATTTCTTTATAAAAATAAAAGAAGCCAACTTAACAAATTATATCATAGTTATTCTGATTTTTTTTATTTTGCGCAATATATATGTTATGTCACTAGTGTTGGAAAATTTATAAAATATTTATATATATTGTCAATTTACATTAATTAGATATTGAGTCCAGAATAAATTAATTTTTATGATTTTGTATAGATCGTAATAAATAAACCACACAAATGAGTCCAAAAAGCAGAGATCTAACCTATAATCTTATAGTTGTAGTAGTCAGTTCTTTTTAATATTTTCTATCTCTTAACTGACCGAGTCAATATATGTTTAATTAATTAATTAGATGTTGAGACAGTTACTGAGATGATATGATTCATAAAATATGATCAGTTAATAACCATCACACATGATTCTTTTCTATTCTCTCTACTATCTTTGTACTCTTTTAAACTACAGGAGCCTAATAGATTGTGAATCCGTTTAAACCCAAGGTAATCGAGGCTTTATTATTGACTTATATTTTCTCTGGATTAAGTCTACCCACTGAATTCTACTATGATTATTTTATATTGTTTATTGAGATATTTTCAACAACTAGTTCATATATGCAAGTTAAATAAACTAAGCGAGAAATCAAGAAAAAAATATTGGACCTTGTCTTGGATACAGGGTCACGGAATTAATTATTTAATTTTCTGAATTAGAAATGAGTTATTTATTGAAATTAACCGAAGTAGTTATTCATTGAATTATATATCAGTTAATTATTCCCCATTTAAAGTATAGGCTCGACTTAGACAAACAATATATTAAAAACGATGCACAATGTGAATGAAATATTTGGTCCACTCAGTGATTAAAAGCTGTATCCTAATTAATTAACTAAATTCATTTTAATAACAATGAAATATCTAAATTATACCAAATTTTATTCTATCTTCGGCATGCAAATTCTTAATTATATTAATGAGTCTGCATGAACAATGTTTGTATAATAAACATTTTGCAATCTGCAATCTTATTAGCCAAGTTAAAGACAAGTATCAATTTATGGAAGATTGCTTAAAGAAGTCACAAATCCACAGAGCCATATCCACCATCTTTTTAAAAAGGCTCTTTATTCCATTGGTAGGTAAAGAATACACTCAAACGTAGCTCACATTGAATTGAATACTGTTTGTAGCTCGGAAAACAGCTCACTTTACTTGATGCATTCCTGAATATACATTGTCTGTTCCATTTAATTAAAATTAAACAATGTGAATCTTACTTTTTCAGAAAATATAATGTATATATTATGGTTCTTCTTTTATAAAGCCGTTTCTTCTGTCTACCTATGCGTGTAGGTTGGTTTTAGTCTCTTCTATAGTACACATGTGTGCTTTTATATAAATCATAGTAATTCTTTCTTTGTTTTGCTCATCGATATCTAATATTTAAGGAGGAAAGGTGGAAACTTATTGCTACAAAACAAGGTTTAGGTTCTTTTCATGAAATATTGTGATAAAATGATTCCCCTACTACGCTTCTCTTTATTATCCTGAAAGAAGCCATCAAACCCCAGTAAATATTTTCAAATAAATAACACGGCACTTTATTAAGAGCAAATAAAGCAAGCTTGAACATCATTTTTTTTAATTGCGACTGCAATTAAGTATTAATATAATAAAATAAATGAACATTTTTTAACAATTTAGAATCCACAATATGCTGAGTTTCTCAATAATCTTTTTCACTCATGTAGATAGCTAGGAAGCCCGTAGATCTTACAATACTTTCATTTCATACCAAAGGTCTTCAATTTATATGAATTCATCTTTTTTTTATATTATAAAAGTGAACACAAACCGCTTCTTTATCTTTTAACCAAATTAAAGTCCCGTCAATTATTAAAATGCGAGCATAATAGTCGCATGGTAATTAACATTTTTTTTATTTCTTAATAGCATAAATTACAAAAAAAAAAAAGCTGTTTACTAAAATTGTATTTGAATATCGCTTGTTTCATGTTAAAATTTTATCAAAATTAAAAAGTACCTCCCCCATCTTATATTTGAGTCACTTTTTAGAAAGAGTTAGTGGTCTTTTTTATAAGGCATTTTGGTTAAAAACAAAGGTTATTAATTACTTTCTTTTAATTTTATCCATTTTACAATTTCCATGAGTAAAGTTTAAAATTTATAATATAATACATTTATTTTTAAATATATATAATATAATACATTTAATAAGGGTAAATTAGGACTTTTTTTCTTTATATCTTTTTATTTTCAAAGAGATAGTTAGAAATGATTTATTTATACAGAAGGAGTATGCTTTAAGAAAATGTGCAATTCAAATATGTCCCCATGGATTAAAAAATGTCATTTGAGCTTAGCTGCGTGTCATTTGTGAGAGAAAAGCTGCCATAATTAACCTAAAGTACCCATTAGAGAGGACTCCACCGCAAGTTTCTTTGGGACATGCATGTGACGAGAGATTGATAAAGGGTAAATTAAAGGGAACTGGAGGGGCAAAATAGGGATTCCGGGCACAATATCTGGACGATATTATTGACCCGGGAAAGATATGAAGGCGACGGATATTGTGCGTTGCGAGCACTAACAGCGATTTGTTTTCTTTTAGCGAGTGGCTTTGGCAAATGGTGGAGTTGCTTTGTAGCTCATTTTGGAGCAAAGCAAGCCACTTATCTTCCACCGCCATGCCCCTTTGTTCTCCACAAGAAGCTCTTCTCAGACTCTTCTACAATGCCTCCTCCTCCTTCCTCCCTCCTCCTCCTCCTCCTCTCCTCCTCCTCCTTCCTCCTCCTCCGCTTCTTCAACTTCGTCGGCAACTACTCCCTCCTCCACCGGTCTCTCTCTCTGTCTCCCCGCATCACTCTCTCTCATCCTTCTTTATCTTCTCCCGCATTACTTACTTATATATACATACTTCTCTGTTTTGGTGTCTGTGTTGCAGAGATCAGCAGTATGAGTATGTGTTTTACGAGGATGAAGACCAGGAGGAAGAAGGAAGGGAAGAAAGGTTTTGTTATGATTCGAGGGATAATAATAATATCGAGAGAGACCATCTGGTGGCCGACGTCGTTGGTCGTGGAGAAAGTCTTATGTTTCTGCACTCCGACCACCACCAGACTAGTCCTCAGTCTTTCTCCGAAGACCTCTTCATAAGTCCGCGGGAGAGCTCGCTTGATGATGATACCTCCGAATTGGAAAACCACTATGCTTCTGATCAAACCTTGTCTGTTCATAGATCTCCACTGGTTTCAGACTTTGAAACTGAAGGGCTTGTTGAAGAAGAACAACAAGAACAAGTTGTTGCTGATGCTGATGCTACTGCTGCAAGAGATCATCATCACGCTGATGATGATTCTGTACTGAACACTGTTCCTATTGATAGCGACTTAGTGGACAGTGACAAAACATGTGACGGTACTTCCACACCATCACCTTCGTTCAATAATTATTAACATTACTCACATGATTTTCTATCAACGCTAAGCAACAGGTGTTGCTATATGCTTTCTGCAGAGGATCATGTTACTGATAGGCTTATTAAAAACAAGAAAGTGCAGGAGGCCAACTTCATGGGGGATGGCAGGTTCTTTGTTTTGGCTCCGACCAATTTGAAAACGAAGAGGCTGATTGTTGAAGAAAAGGACGAAGAAGAAATATATGGTGACTCATGCACTGCGGGGTCCACCTCCAAGAGCTCATCGGACTGGAGGAGCTCAGCCATTTGCAGAGATTCTGGAACCGATGACCCGTTTTCTTCTTCCTCCAGAAGGAGCTGCCCCAAGTGGGAGTCTTACACCGTGTTCCAGAAGTACGATGAAGAAATGACATTCCTAGATAGAATTAGCGCACAGAAACTACACGAAACTGGTATTTCATTGACCAAATTTAATTTTTCTTTCACTGTATTGAATATATATTTGCGAGTTGTGGCACATTTTCAGAGTCTTTGAAGTCAATCTATGTATCTCCGAGATCCATATCAGAGCGTATAGCGTACAAGTTTTCAAATATAAACAAAACACCAGCTCACATACGTCAGAACCCATACCGGGAGCTGGAGGCTGCGTACGTTGCACAAATCTGCTTGACATGGGAAGCTCTGAACTGGAACTACCAGAATTTTCAGTCAAAGAAAGCATCGTGTCTTGATGGTTGTCCTGCCATCGTTGCCCAACAATTCCAGCAATTTCAGGTGTTGCTGCAGAGGTACGTTGAGAATGAACCGTATGAGCATGGAAGGAGACCAGAGATCTATGCCAGAATGAGGCTTTTGGCACCAAAACTGCTCCTTGTCCCAGAATATCGAGGTTGGTTCACTAAATACTTTAATATTAAGACTTCATTTTTTCCCTCTGTAATAATAGGTATCACTGATGGTATTAAAACTCAATTTGGGTGGGTATAGTCAAACCTACTGAACCCACAGTGGATCAGTCCTCTAACTGGTCTAATCAAGATTTTATTTTTCTTTCCCCTTGCCAAGCCTAAAATGACATGTTTTTTGGTTAAAAAATAGAAAATAGCTGTTCCTCGTATTTATACTTTAACAACTTTTTGTTGGATTGCATGTGCGTAATTTATAAATGAATATTCTACTTACATATAAATCGATGCCTTTTTCATTTAAATATTTCTCTTTTTAACATATATGTGTGAATATTTTTTGCGTATTTTAATTAAATTTTTATTTTTACTCATGACTGCTGGGTTGATTCTATTTTTACTACGGTTGTGCCTCAACGGATTCAATAACCAGCCTGATTTTCAATAACTTTATTACAATTTTTTATATCTTGTGGTGTATTTAGATTGTGTAATGTTATTAGCTATAGATACTATGTATGGTAGGCAAAAGCAAACATATAGAAGAATAAGAATGAATCATAGAATTGAGTAAATTAATTACGAGCGTAACTCTTGAAGATTCGGAGGATGATCAGAGGGAGAGTGATTATCAGTCAAGAATATCGTCGACATCATTTCTTATGATAATGGAGGATGGGATCAGAACTTTCATGAATTTCCTCAAGGCTGATAAAGAGAAGCCCTGTCAGATCCTGGCAGCCTACTTTAAGAGAAACCGAAGAAACTCTGTGGATCCAACATTACTTCGGCTCATGAAGAAGGTTAACCAAAAGGCAAGTCCTAACAGAGTTTAATTAAATTAATACCCCTTGATTATTATTAAATATTGCTTTCCAGATCACCGCATGCATGTATGCTTTATTAATTATTATTATTAGTTAACTAACATTGACATTTGCGGGTAATATATATAATGCAGAAGACGACGAAGGTGAAAGATCTTCGACGTTCACGGAAATGTCTGAGGAAGAGGAAGAAGCAGAAGGAGGATCAAGAGATGGAGATTTTGATGGCACTGATAGATCTAAAAGTAGTGTCGAGGGTTTTGAGAATGAATGATTTAAGCGAAGAACAGTTGCATTGGTGTGAGGAGAAGATGAGCAAAGTGACAGCGATGGACGGGAAGCTTCAAAGAGATTCCTCTCCACTTTTCTTCCCTGCACATTGACGGGCTGACTCACTCGCCCAGATTACACGTTTCACATCATTATATTAAGATTTCTTAATTCTTATTCTTGCTGCTTCGTGACTGGATGATGATTGTGCATGCATGAGTCATGCACAAAGTAAAGGAATATCCTCAACATGCTTTTGTAGGGGTTAAAGCAGAAAAGAAAATGGAGGGACCCCATATATATATATATATCATCAAAGTAAGAGAGAGAGGGAGAGCCGGAGAGGGAGAGCGCGCGCGCGCATGGGTTTTGGAGCCAGAAATCCATGGAAGGCAAAGTTAAAGATGAACACTGAAAGGGAAAGACCAGAGACAAAGCAAGGAACATCAAGACAAGGACAAGAGTAGCTTTCGTTTTTTTTTTTTTTTTCACTTTAGTTTTTTTTTTTTCTTTTAATTTTTAAATTAGGGTTTATCTACTAGGGGGGCTTTTAGACTAAGTTTTAGCGGAATCTTAAAGAACAATAATCCAGACATCTGCTACACGCAGTATCTGCAGAAATAAAGAAGTATATAGTACACATGTGATAGACTGGAGAAATAACGGTAGGCAATAAATCAGTTTTCTCTTCTTTTTCTTTTGTTTTTGTTTTTGTTTTTTGGCGTCTGAAATGAAGGGAAATAAATTAAAGGCTTGCGTCTTTATTTTCATATTTTATAAAGTTAGGTCTGCCGTCGGATTGCAGTGAACTGTAAAATATAATCTGCTATACTTTCAAAACAAAAATGATCTACTCATATTGTTCATATTTTTTTGTTTGTTAATTTAATTATCATGAAATTATGTTCTCTTTCTGTTTATAAAGATATTTTTAATTGAATATCACCTCAATAAAGTAGTTACATACTTTTAAATTAATTTTATCTTTTCATATTTACTCTTATTAAACACCTTATAATATATATAAAATCATTCATCAATAAGAATACTTTAAAAAAAATACAATAATTATAACTAAAAAGATTAAAATATTTTATATTTTTTAATGTTCATTTCTTTAAAAAATATCTCATGCTCTGCATACTTTGGTCTATATTTTTTAATTTTCTTAATTCTACGAGTTTCAGTTTTTTCAAATAAATATTGATTTGATTGCAGCATGCCTTGGCACCTTCCAACAGTCAAATCACTACTGCATCTTCCAACTCTTTTCATTATCCCACCCATATCAGCTGCGCCTCTTTCTTCTGATTGGTCACTAGAAATCTCCACAGGTGTTAGAGGAAATCAAACTTGGCTTCTGTTCAATGCCTATTCAAGTGGATTTATAATTCCAACAAAAAAATTCACAACACTACTCTTTTGGTAACTCGAATAGTTCTCCAATGAATCATCAACGCTCAGGAAAGCCTTGACAAAATAATAGACGTCCAAGATTAGTCATTCGACACCATAAGAAGAATCTAGTTTCTCCAAAAATCTTCTCAATGAATAATCCTTCGTCTATATTGATTGATCGGGACATCTTTCTTTATGGCTGCTTCTTTTCAAACATTTTTTCCCCCAGTAATTTCTGATGGCAATTTTCCGTATGATAGCTTTCCACCTCCTCCATTATTATATATATATAAAAAAAAAAAGTTCTGTGGCCATGGCATCAATTTCTTTCACATTGTTTCAGAAGATGGCACGGCTTATCAATACCATTTAAAAATATAAAATATATAAAAATTCATGTTATCTGAAACTCATGAATGATATGATATGACTTTTCTGAGGCTCCATGTAAACTTTTTTAAAATTTATCTCCATAAATTTGTTTGGTTATAAAGAAAAGGAGAATTATAATCAGATTGTAAATAAAAAAATTAATTATTTCTTTAGTTTATTTATAAATTACTTTTTAAATTTATATGTTAAATTTTGACATTTACAAATAAATAGGACTTCGGCATTTACATAATTTCCCTTGTAAAAAAATGAGTTAGATTGAATTTATCTCATTTTCATATGGATTAAAAAAATATCCACCCAACTCTTAAGATTTGGCAAGTTAAATGAGATAACCTACCAACTCATTTAACTTTTTTTCATGATTTTTTTAAAAAAATTACATCTAAATAATAAGTTTCAATATAATATTCCATACTTTTGAAAAAATTTACATCATAAATATATATGATTGATCCATTCTATTAAGATTTATTTCAAATTTGCTTGTTTTTGCGGGGTAGGGAGCCAAAACTTCCTCCATTTTTTATTCCTTGATTTTTATTTTCTAAATAATATGGGTTAAACAGGTTGGTCTTAACCCATAGCCCATTTTATTCAAAGATTATCTTATCTATGCCATAAAATATTAATTTTTATTTGTGCCAACTTTTCAACTCAACATGATATTTATAAAGGTTAATATAATAAATAATTTGAATCATGAACTATAAGTTTATGGACGATTTAAACTTTAAATTTTTAAAAAGTATATTTTAAATTATAAATAATTAAAGTTGAAGTAATTTCGTCCATATCATTAAATTTAAAAAAACTTCATTAAATTAGGACCTAATGTGTAATTTTCACTAAAAAAAAAGGGAGGGCAAAATTTGATAAAAATCGCATGTTGTGCCCCCTGTTTAAAAAAATTAACAAACATTTGTTAAAATTTAATAATAAAAGTGAAATTATTTTAATTTAATTATTTAGAGTTTATAATAAACATTTTATAAATTTTAGAGTTTAAATTACATATTAATCCTATTTATATCAAGTTATTCTGTTTTTTTTTTTTGGCAAACATATAACAAGTTATCCAAGCCAATCTATATAGCAGGATTTATATTTTCAACTATATTGGCGGGGACCTAGATTTGGGAAATAGGTCCGGCTGACTAACGTGTTAAGCCCGTCGTCATTCATGAAGCCCGAACGATGTTATCAGAGCTTAAGGTCAGATCTATAAACCTACATTTAATTTTTGTAGTTTTTAAAAAGGATAAAATTAGTAAATGCAAACATATAAATTATAACTTAAAAAATATACTTCCAAATCTTCAAGTCCACAAGGTTCGAGCTCGTAAGCCATATATATTTGTTATTCTAAAGGCAATTATTAATAGCTGGCCTTTGAAAAAACATCGATGAACGTGTCGGAATCCACAGTTTTCCAGCTCTAAATGCGGTGAGTTCATCATTATGTAATATCTATGGTTTGATGTTACATAAAAATAGTATAAAAAATGAGAATATATACTTGTGTCTGTGGACTCGTTTTTTTATTACTATGCACTCCTTTTGCTCTTCTTATCTTTTATTTCAAAGAGGGTTTACATATTTATCCTGGAAAAAATAAATTATCCCATCTCAACACCACTAAATGATAAAACAATACCTCGACAAAACTTACAGATTGAGATTTAGGTCCTCTCGAATAAATAAATCATCATGTCACTTTTTTCTCCACTTAGAATTATTTCTCTTCTACTCGGTTAAAATAATCCAAATTCATATAAAAAATGTTTTTTTCAAATGTTCCACTTTTATACTGTTATATAACAAAAATATCATGTTAGTTACAGCCAATGATTGTTACATTAAAGTGGGAGACAGTCGATTTTCTTAAACAGATTTGAGGGTAATCTTTAGAGCTGTCAATTAGGGTCAGCCCGGCCCTAAAGGACCGGCCCTTGAAGGGCCAGGGCCTAAACGAGCTGGCCCTAATAAGCTTGATTACATATCAGAATTCCATTTTTTAAGGCCCGGCCCTAGCCCTCAGGGCTAAAGGGCCGGCCCTCAGGGCCTCGGCCCTATTTTTTTAAAATTATTTTTTCAATCAAAAATTATAAAATATATATTTATAATCATAAAAAAGTTATTATTCATAAAATTAAGTTTAAAAAAATAAATTTAAATCAATTTACACCACAACAATAAAGAAAACTAAAATATTTAAGTCTAATATCAAATAGCAATATCAAAGTGAATACCAATAAAAATTAATCTCAACTAATATTATTAGCTAAATCTTAATAAATGAATGAGGGATGAATGAATGCATTTAATATATTCATTTCTTTAAATTATGTATTTAATCTTTTATTTTTTTATATTATAATTTTTTTAAAAAAATTATAAACGGGCCTAAAAGGGCCGGCCCTTTTATTTTCGGGCCTAAAAAGGCTAGCCTTTTAGGCCCGATTTACTTTTTTAAAGGTAAAATAGAAGTCCAACCCTCAATTTTTTCGGACCTAAAAAGGCCGGCCCTACGGGCTGGCCCTAATTGACGGCTCTAGTAATCTTATAAATAGTTATATAAAACATGGTCTGAACATGAAATTACTTAGATGATTTTTTTTGTCTTGGTATAAAGATTAAATTTTTATGTAAGATGATTTTTTTTCCACCTACACAGACATTCCTTATTGAAAATAATCATATTTAAAACACTGTTAATTACTTCTCAGTACCTTTCCCATGCACGCAGCAAATAAAAATCTGAACTCTGGTGGGACAAAGGGCCAGAACCATAAATAGATCGGCCCAATTATTAAGCCCGTAAAACATCCGCTCAATCTTTTGGAAGCTCGAAACTTGATAAACGATGTGTGGCTTTTATTAATAGGTTTGTATCATAGGATGGTGGATTTGCTCAAATTTAATAACTAGAGATATTGCCGATCAAAACCTTGTTTTTTCTCATAAGAAATTTCATAAAGTTTTTTTAAATTGAAAAGATAAACAAATAAGTACAAAGAAATTAAATACTCACTCTGTTCTTAAATATAAAATCTTGCATAGATGCCTTTTTTGGTTCTAGATATAAGATTTTTTGTGAAAAAATAATGAAGAGTTTACTGTGTTCTTTCAAAAATGTTATTCATTATTGAGGTTTGAAAACTAATTTGAAAATTTTATTTTAATTATCAAACTTCTAATAATTTGGTTGCGGCAATGTTTAGTGAAAAATGTTGGGTCACAAAGCAAAATGATCGATGTCGGGTATGTGTATCATTCGATGAACCAACAAGGGAACCTCTAAGCTGGTCCGATCGATGCTTTAATTTGCCACACTTTCTCACCTATGATCAAGGAAATAGAATATCTAGTGAAAACTTTAAGAGATGTTTAGCATTTTTATAATGTCAATGTTTGGGCTAAATCAATAAGGCATAATATAAACTATCAATCAACGTAACTAGACTATATAACCGGTATTTTACGTGAAAGTTAATTAAGAATTTAGATGAGTATTCATAACTTAGAAACAATTCGGTTCCTTATATATTTTATATGATATAATTAACAACTATCAATCAACTAGATTGTGAAATCCGTACTTTGCATGGAGTATAAAACAAATCATGCTATTTATTTTCTATAAATGAGATGGCTTTGTATCTCTATTGAAGGGAGACTAATAATTGCAAGAGTGAAGATGAAAGCATATGAAATAACATCTCATGTTTATTTTTCCTTAACACTTTCAAAAAGTATTCAAGACAAACTATTACTAAAATATTAAAACTTCATTTAGGGGTGTGAAATGTGTGAATTAAAAATTTATTAATAATAAAAAATAATTTTGATATTCAAGTTCAGGTTTGATCCGAAGTTTTGTGATCCCATTGCCACAAAATTGTCGGAATGATGATGGCATAGCCCAACCATGTGAATACCAAATAATAGATCATGGTGCATCCAGTTAATAGATATAATTAGGTAAAATTAAGGTTTTTAATTCAGCTTAAAACTCCCTATGAAATTTCTCATTTACTAAGACATAGAATTTTACAAAACATGCCTTAAATTCAAAACTGTAGCAAATTAT